GAATTCATAAAATTCAGCTTTCAATATAAGTAATGTTATTATTTAATCCAAATTAATTCAGTGTATCATATGTACCTAGTCTCAATATAGTGACACATTTAACAAAACACTGTCCAACAATGGGAAAGTTCCTGGAAGTGATTTTTTTTTTACTTGAATTTCTCAATGAATGTCAAAGCGCGTCAGATTCATTCCCCATCATAGTGCTTCTTAATACTTCATTTGCACTTCCTTTAAGCTTTTAATTTTCTCATCCCTCAGCTACACAGACACCTTTACAGCATTCTTCTCGCTCTCTACTCTCTTCCAATCACCTCCCTGCCAAAATACATTTTTTTTCCTCTTTTCAGTACTGGGAATTGGGTTCAGAGCCTTTGCACTGAGCTATACCCTCAACCCTTGTTGATTATTTTTTCTTTTAATTTGGGTCTTGGTAAATTTCCCAGGATGGGCTTGAACTGGCCATCCTCCTGTCTCAGCCTCCTAGAGCACATTCCAAGTGTGTGCCATCATACCTGTCTGCCAAAACACCTTCACCCTTTCCTCCCTCTCCTTCTTCTTTACAAGTCTGCATTCTTTCTCTCTGTGGTAGGTCTTTGCCTTTTAGGATATAATTGCCCAGCCTACACTTCTCTGTCCATCTCTCATCCCATAATAATCATGACTGTCTCTACAAATGTTGCATGTTTGGGGCAGAGAAAATAGTGATATTGGAAAAAAAAGGAAGAGTTTAACCCACAAGCACCAGTGCCTCAAATGCAAATGCTATGCTGTGTCGCATGCACAACTATGCCACAGAAAGCCATACTTGCACACACATGTGCTATACATGTGTACATGTGCATATACCATGTGCACATGCAATGTACTATAGCAGTGGGAGGGAGCCTATGGCACCCATGCCACAGTGGGCACACAGAGCACTCTCTGTTGGCACATGGGCCAAGTCGCCCCAGCTAAAGTTTGCAAATTGTCAGCATGCACACACATTAACTATGCAAAAGCACACTAAATGCAAACTTTGAACTTTCCATAAAAAGCCATTTGTATCATTGAAACCTCTGCCATTGTTTTTAAAACAAAAGATGCTAATGTGTGAGCTATTTTTTTCTAGACTAAAACTTCAGTACTGTCTTCAGGTGTAACTGTGGTGTTGGCACTTTTCAGTACATAAGTGGGTTGTGGGCTGCAGTCTGACCACTTGGTCTCTAAAAGGTTCACTATCACTGTGCTATAGCATCCAACGTGCAGGTGCAGACATGCACAGGAACATCTGTGCATATACCTGCTGTAGTGTGTGCATGTATTGCACACGCATGTCAAATGTAAATGGCATGTGCATTAGTGTGGGCACACCAGTTCCACCGCTCTGAGTTCCAGGCCTGTGCAAATTGAGAGAGCCAGGGCAAACAGTGGCCATGCCAGCTGCCCACAGTCTGTCTTCCCTCCCACTTGCCTCAAGAAACAAAGACAGTTTAGCAAGAACTCCCCAGCTAAGCGGTTTTTTTAAGACCTTCAGCCAGCAGCCGCCAGACCAAGCTGAATGTCTCACTTTATTAGTGAGTTTGGCCTTGGGTGTCTGGCTGTTTGATCAATCCTGCCGGGGGTCAGTGATATTTCCTCCAGCCCCGCCGCCCCTGCCCTGCCTCTCACCGCACCTGATGAACAGCGTGCCCCTGGACCGCTGATCACCTATTGATTTTCTAGCTCGAGGCTGCATCCACCGCCAGCTGCCATCTCCAGCCCTGTCATCAGGACCACTTGGTGACTAACTGATCCCCCTGCCCCTCCTAGCCCCCACTCCTCACTGCAGGCCCCGCTCCCTCTACACCGGCCTATCCTACATATCTTTCTCTGTGTCCAGTCCCTGCCCTCTCTCTCAGGGCTTTGCACATGGACTCCAAAGTCAAGGTCTTTGCCCAGTGACCCTCATTCCACTGGGCAACCAGGCTCTGAGGTCCAGTTTCACAACCTTGAACAGGTTGACTTCATACCTTAGTTTATCCTTGACTCATCTCCTTAAATCTCAGTTTCTTCATAAGACTCCAGGAGCAATATAAGGATATACTCAACTACTATACAAGGCAGGGGTTTCTAAAGTGTGCTCTGCATACCTCTGGGAGTCCCAGAGACCCTTCCAGAGGGTCCGTAAAACTCAGAACTATGTTGGCAATATGATGAAGGTGTTATATGTCTTCTTTTCTGCCAGTGAAAACCATTTAATTCTCACTGAAGTATTCCAGAGATCTGAGAGCTCAGAAACTTGAATACAAAAGAACACCCAAGTATCTCCTATTAAGCCTGACTTTAGTAAAGAGATGTACAAAAATGTAGAACAATGTCACACTTCCTTCCCCCTAAATTCTGTGCGTTGGAAAATATAACTATTGATCATAAAATATGCTATGTATGTTAACATTTCTCTTTTAAATGAACTACAAACAAATATTATCAAAATATCCCAGTTTTGGCTCCTAAAATGCCAAGTAGCAAGAATACAACCCACATTAACAAAATCTCAATAATTTTTAGGAGCATAAGAGGAGATGTGAAGACCAAAAAGTTGGAGAGCTGCTAGCACAAGAGGCTAGCATTGTGCCTGGATCACTGTATGTACTCAGGAGGTTATTAGTGTGATTGGGAGTGATTATCACGGGGAGTCAGCGTGATAGCTAGGGGACCTGGGGGCCCAGGTTTGAGAAGATTGGACCTGATTAGGAATTATGTCCTCTCAGGCAGTGTAGCTCATTGCTACACTGGTAGAGCATTTTCCTAACATAAGCAAAGTTTCTCAGCACTGGAGAAACAGAGAGGGAGGAACAGAGGGAGAGAAAGAAATGGAAGGAAGGAGGGAGGGAGAAGAAAGAGACAGAGAAGGAACACGGAAGGGAGGAAGGAAGCAAGAAAGAGAGGAAGGAGGGAAGGAAGGAAGGAAGAGAGAGAGAGAGAGAGAGAGAGAGAGAGAGAGAGAGAGAGAGAGAGAGAAAGAAAGAAAGAAAGAAAGAAAGAAAGAAAGAAAGAAAGGGGAGAAAATGCAATCTAGTCTCTATAGCCAAACAGCAGAGACATAGGGTCCCCTCTGCCAGCTCTGAGGATCCTCCTTTCTCTGCACCCAGCAGCTCTCCTGTCCCAGCTCTTAGTGCCAGCTGGTGGGGTGGGGGTCCAGCACCCTCTCAGAGGCATGGCAGCATCAGGCTGGCCTACCAGGTCCCCGGCACCTGGCGTTGGTTGCAGCTCTGACAACTGGGGCCTTGAAGGTTTCCTGAGAGGGGCAGTGGTGCAAAAAAGGAAGAGGCTGGGCAGAGGAGAGGCGGTCACAGCTGCTCCTGTTAGCACTCACGTGTCAGGCAGCACTGAAATCGCTTTTGGAAAGCTAAGCGTTTGATCCTCACCACAGTCTTAGGAGGTGTCTTTAAAAGGTACCCAGGGTGATTTTGTACTAACAGACACAGTAAGATGACAGACACAGAGACCCCTGGCTTCAAAGATGAGTGTACTATGGGATTAAACAAGAAGAGACATGGCACATTGGGCAAGGTTACAGAGGACAGCACCAGGGTCAATCAGGAGGCAGAAGGAGTGACGAGATGGCACGGACGAATGTCCAGGTGGCGTTTCATAAGGAAGGAATGGGCGAGGCATGGTGAGCAGTGTGGAATTAGCTAGAGTCAATAATCTGAGCCAGCCTGAGCCTGTAGTGGCCATCCCTTATTCTCCGGTATGTGGCCCTGGAGTGATTTCAGGCAAGGGAAATATCACCTTGTGTATGAGGCTTTCATAAAAGTGTGCTTGGAATGTGGGTTCTGGACTAGCCAGTCTGCATAGGAAAGTTATGCTCATAAAATTATCACTGTATTCAGGTATTAGTCTTGGGAGGGACATTCTCTTCCTGGGATAGTGGGGCCTCAGCTGTCAAAGCATCATAAAAACACACAACGATTGACTCATTACTGTTGTTTTTATCTCCATTTTACAGAAGGGAAAACCGAGGCAGAGGCTAAGGGTCATGCCTGAAGTCACAAAATAGACAAGTGACAGTAGGACTTGAATCAGAGTGCTGCGGTTCACAGAGCCCAGTCCTCCACCACCATGGCTCACTGCCTCCCACACACTGCATCTGTGGCTGGGCGACTCACTGCCTGGTCCCCACTGTACCAGAGCCCAGGACGGTATGGGGTGGGCCTGTGTGCTTGAAATGTAGCTGCTAGTTTGTGTCCCTGGCACAGGTGAGCACAGGCCTGGGGTCAGACTGGAGCTCCCGTCACCTGACTCTTGGGCAATGCTCCTTAGTGGGTGCCAGGCCGCCTGTTCTTGGTCCTGGCCACCCTGGCCACTCAAGCTGCAGCTGGGATGCCTGCTGTGGACAGTAACACAGGTCAGGGTGGCCTGGGATGCTCCAAGCACCCATAGGACCACGAGATTGCCATATTGCCCCCCTGATTTTTGTGAGTCCTCATCAGATGCTGTCTTACACCCCTGCCTAGCGTCTGCCCAGACTCCACTCAGGACAAAGGCAGGCCAAGTCAGGAATGAGAACACCATAAAGATCTGCTGGTGTTTTTCGATTTTTGTTATTATCATAAACTGGACTTAAACTTGGGGAGATTCGTGCATTCCTCCCGTAGGTGGTCAGGATTTAAGGACATGGTGGATAAAATTCAGCTTTCAGCAAAGTAGACAAGCAGACCTGTAGTGACCTGTACAGAAATTTGAAGGTGTGCTTCCGCTCCCAAGCGCTCAGGTCGGGACCAAAGCAGCTGGAAGAGAACTCAGGTGCAGAGGTCACCAGCACACACAGGAGCAGGGACTCAGGGTGACCCACTACTCCACCGTGCGCCTCTAGTGGGACGTGAAACAAAACCTGGGTGTCTGACTGTGCAAATGCGAGGCGCCAGCGCCCCCTGCCGGCCGCCTCATGCAGCACCGGCCTGGAGTGTCCCGCCCAGGGCTTGGTGAACTCGCGGGACCCCCGCGGTGACACGGACAGGAAACGGGGTGAAGGAAATCCGGCCCCGCACAGCTGTGAGCGAGACTGCGGGCCTCGGGGCGTAGACCTGCTCGGTCTAGCCAGAGTGTTTGCCTCCTGATTGAGAACTTGAGTGACAATAAGTCAGAGCAGGACGGCTTCCAGGAAGGTAGGCTGTGCCCCAAAGTCAGATGGTGAAGACTGAGAGCCCCTGGGACTGTTGCTTAGAACCTACTCAGGGCTTTCCAGCGTTCTGGTCTCAGGTCACTGCCGGCTTAGGGACCAACTCAGTGCCCTACAAAGCCAAGTGGAAACTGTGTGGCCTTGGGTGACCCAGCCTTGGAAGTCACCCAGCATCACTTCACACTACCCCAGGGGTCCAAACAGCCCCGCAGCATGCTCAATTCAGGAAAAGGGACGAGACTGTTTCTGCACACGGGAGTGCTGGACCTCGAGCTGCCCTTCCACAGCACACTGAGCCCATCTCTCCACGATAGCTTTGTGGTCTGGGCGTAGTGAGCGCCCCTCCTCATTCTACCTCCATACTTGGGTGCTCCCGCCTAAAACCCAGGACTCATCTCTCCAGCCCTGAGGATAAAGGATTTCCCGAACCAGTTGCAATAGTGGGAGTTAGGAATTTTGTGCCATGGAAAAGTAATGTTGTAGCAGGAGGCTAAAGCTGCTTCCAGTTCTTAAATCCAGATAAGGGAGGAGAGGTGGGGACATGCAGGGAATATCAGAGACATCCGTGCACTGGGGGAAGAGTTCTTGTGCTGCCTCTGCCCCTAGATGTCGGTTCTACCAGGTTCCCAGAAGGCAGAGAATAAAAAGCAGGATTCCCTTCCTCTTAACTCTGCAGAGTGAAGACAGCTATCTGGGGAGTCACCGCCTCTGTGGCCAGAAGAGGGCAGCACAGCGCCATCCTGTAGATGGGCGACTGGCAGGATTACTTGGCTAAGACGGTCCGCAGCTTGATAGAGCCTGTGCGCTCCAGAGGAGCAGGAACTGTTGTGTTGACCGTTGTATCTCCCAGGCCTGGTATAAAGGAGACAGAATTTTGGACTCTGTGCTGTGTATGCGCGGGAGCAGTTTTCTCTGATCAGCAAGTGCCTGACTGTGTAAAGTCTGAGAGTGTCCATCAGGCTTGCTTTTGGGGTTCTCAGCAGGTTCCTGAAGCCACCACTAATGCAGTGCCCAGCAGCCCCACACGCCTTCTGTTTACCAGAGACAGAGTTGTGCTAAGTCCTGGAGCCACCAGACACCCTGGGGTCGCCTAGATATATTCTTCCCGGGTTCAGCCCTGGCTGCCTCAACCTCTGCCTATCTGGGGCAAGGGGCAGGAAGTCATCACTGCATCCAATCCTTTCTTGGGGTGACTTCCTATTTCTATTATTTAAGGAAAAAGTGTTATTCTTAAAGGAGATGAAGACACCTGCAGATCATGGCACCAGGGAGGTCAGGGCAGGTATGAGGGGAGGAGCAGCCAAGAGTCCTCTGTGACAGAGGCTTGAAGGGAGCAGGGCTCCTGTCTACTGAGCCACCCCAGGCCCAGCACCTCTCTGTAGCAAATTTAAGTACAAAGTGCATGAGAGGGAGAGAGGTTGGTTCTAAGTCATTTATCATCCCCATTTGACATATAAGGAACTTAAGGCTGAAATTGTGTCTTGCTAAAAGTCACAAATGTGGGAGAGGAACATAAATCTAGGTTTTTCTAGAGACACAAAGAGTATTTATGTGAAACTGTAGAAAAAGCAAACATCCCAAGTGACAGAAAGCAGAACAGTGCTGCCTGAAGATGCTGGGGGATTGAACGTAAGGAGGAGACCAGACTGACTACAAAAGGAAATTTCTGAAAGAATCAAATTCTTTATTTGATTCTTATGAGAATTCGTATATTGATGTCAAAACCCACTGACTATCCAATTTAAATGAGTGCATTTATTAAATACCTCATTTAATTATTTTTCATCCACTGTAACTCAGAATCTGGGACCCTTGTTTCCACCACACTGGTGACCTCCAGTCCTGGTATTACAGATCTGGCTCCTGTGTCCTGCAAGAGTTGCTCTCACACCTAGAGAAGATCAGAGTTCTGAGATCAAATCAGGACAGCAGTTGGGGGAGGCTGTGGGAATGCAGGGCTGGACCAACTGACTAATCAATTGGCAAAAATCAAATGTAAACATTGACTCCATCTGGGAATATGCACCCCTGGGCTAAACCTTGCCACAGTCCAGGTGAGCTGACCTGTGCTTACTAACCTGGGAACAGAAAACCTGTCCATTTCCATGGCTTTCCATGACCCACTCACTCATAGGACAGGCAGCCAACCCAGAACTGCCCTCCATCTGAGTCCGCAGCTGAAGTCAGGGACACCCAAGATAATTCAGAGTATCCTTCTCCAAGCAATGAACAACTCAGAGTAAGACTTAAATTTAATAAGTTCCCTGGTGGCCTCTTCCAATTTGCTTCTGATCTGGCTAACCTGGCCCAGATTTCAGCCCGCTAAGAGCAATCTTTGGCAAACTGGATACCCGTGCTACTTAAACTGGTTTTTGATGGCTAGCAGGCCAATGAGAAAGAAAGAGGGAGTCACACTGGGGAGCAAACAGATGAGGTTATCTGCTCCTCCGATGATAATAGCCCATCAAGAGATTTTCAGAGCCTTGGCATTTGCAATCCTCTTTAGTCTTATAAGCAACCCAGTCAGCTGAGAGTTCCAGAATTCTGACAGCCTATGACACAGAAGGACAGGAATCCCCATAGACTGAGAGCATAACTTCATCTCACGGTTGCTTATCAGTAGGCAGAACGCAGGGATGCAGTCTGCCCTGATGGCTTCCATCTCAGACATGGGGAGGAGCTGGGTCCAGACAAATTTCATGAACTGCCGTCTGCTCCAGCAGTCTGTCCACACATGTGGTGGGCTTTCCTGGTGCTTTTGTCATTTCTGCAGAAAGGATTCCCAGGCTGCAGGCCTCATGGCTGTACCAGCCCTGCCACTGTTTTTGACTATTGGACTATCAGTGAAAGCTAACGCTACTTTGGGGGATGCAGAATAAATGACTCAGGGTGGAGGTATCATGAGATCACATACCTGAGTGACACAGCGTGCTGTGGTGGGATGTGTAACCACCATCTCATGTTGTCCGCTGGGTCATTCCATCTGGCATAGAAGCAGCTCCTACTGGGTTATGAACTCAGAGGTCAGCAGCAGACCCTCGGAGGCCAGCTCCACACGCTCCCACCTCCCAGGGGCCACTGATAACTGTCAAAAGCCTTGAGTAAGAAGAGACTCATGTTCCAAAATCTAGGTCTCTTTCAGAAAACACTTGGGGCTCCTGCTTTCACCCCTTCTTGTTTTGTTTAAATTTCTCTCTGTTGACACCCCTCATCCTCTTCAAACCCCGTATAGGCAACATTCCTAATGCAGATCTTGTTTGAATGCAGGCAGTGGTACCAGGTGGCTCACCAGGACAGCTGTACCAACTATGGGCAGAGGACCGTGCATCTCAGCTCACAGTACCACTTCCAGCCTTTTCAATTTTGCTTGCTAACAAATGCACATGGAACTGCTGCTTTAGTGTTCCTCTAATGAGCTCAAAGATTCCTCACTGGCTTGGTGACTTGGGATCTGCTCCTGTAAACTGCCTGTTCATCTTCTTAGGCCATTTTTTCCTCACTGGGGTTTTATTTTTATTGTGGATTTACAAAAGGTTTTTTTTAATTTCAAAGAGAATAAAACCAAGCAAATAAAACAGAATAGAGTCAATTGAAACAAAACAATGAATATGATACAAGACTCAAAACAAGATAAAAGGAAATAAGTAATGACTACCATAATGCCTCTTGTTATCTTAAAAATAACTGCCCATATCATCAGACATAGGAAAATCAAACAAAACATAACGGAATAAAACTCACCAAAATAAAATGATGAAAGCAATACAAGACTTCAAAACGAGATAATAGGAAAACAACCATGGCTACCATAATGCCTCTTGTTATATTCAAAGTAGCTGCCTATATCATCAGAGATAAGAATATCAAACAAAACAATTTCGAATACAATCAATCAAAACAAAACAACAAAAGCAATACAGGGCACCCAAACAAGATGATAGGAAATCTATAATGGCTGTCATAATATATTTTATCTTTGAAATAGCTGCCCATGCCATCAAATATGAAAAAATCAAGCAAAACAGAATAAAACCAAACTAAATAGAACAATGAAAACAATACAGGGTATCAAAACATGATAATAGATTAACAGTGGTAGCCATTGCTTTCCCTTTTTAAACATTTCCTCCCTTTTCACTTTCACAGTATGAACTGTGCATTTTGGAACCCACTAACTCTTTTAGTTTTATATACTAGGGAAACAACACGATGTTCATCCATGTGACTGAACCATTTCATCCATGCACATGATCTCAAGTTGTATCCATTTACCTACAAAAGCCTCAAGGTTATCTTTCTTTATAGCTGAGTAGCTTCCCATTGTATAAAAGTGCTGTATCTTTATTATCCATTCTGCCGTTGATGGGCAAGCTTCCCTGCTCTTTTCTGGCTGTCACATAGTTTTCTCTCCTTTGACTTTCAGTCTATGAATTTTCTTTCAAATTAGATGTGTTTCTTGTATAAAGCACACTGATGGATCCTATCTCTTGATCCACACTGCCTGTGTGTCTTTTTATTGGTGAATTGAGGTCATCTATATTAATGGCTAGGGCCAGCATGCACTGGCTTGTCTCTGCCATGCTATTTTCCTGCTGTTGGCTGCTTACTTTTCCCCTCCATTTAATTGTCTGCCCCGCTTGGTGATCCTCCTCTGCCACTGTTCCGGGAAGTGTGGTCATTTGTATCTCTCCCTAGAATGTCCTTCAGTATTTTTTGTAGGATTGTTTTGGTGGTCATGAATTTCTTCAGTTGTTCTTTGTCATGGAAGTATCTTGTTTCTCCATTAAGTTTGAAAGGTAGTTTTGCAGGGTACATAAATCTGGGTTAAAAGTTGTTTTCTTTTAGGACTTGAAATACTTCACTCCAAGCTTTTTGACTCGATGGTTTGTGTTGAGAAGTCTGTCATAATTTTGATGGGTTTTCCTTTATAGGTAATGTTTCTTTTCTCTAACAGCTTTTAATATTCTGTTCTTGTATTGAATTTCTGGGAGCTTGATTATTATATGTCTGGGTGTATTTTGGTTATGGCTAGCTGGTGTTCTATATGTCTCACGTATCTGAATGTCACTTCCTTTGCCCATGCTTGGGAAATTTGCTGATATTATTTTCATAAACAGACTTTTAATGTCATTTGTGTTGACCCCTGCTTTTTCACTCACACCTGTTATTCTTAAATTATTTTTATTTGCATCATCTTGCAGCTGTTTATTTCCCGATTCCTTGTTATTTTTAAGAAATCTTTCCTTTTGCAATAGGTAGGTACAAATCTGTCTTCAAGGTCTGAAAGTCTGTCTTCAATTTCTTTCAAGAGGTTTTGCCAGCTTTCAATGGAGTTTTTATCTGTCTTCTTTAGAGATGATTAACAATTACTTTATTATGTTTTTCATTTCTTCTTTTACCTGACGTAGTATTTCTGTTCCAATTTCTTTTTTTTTTTTTTTAATCGGTACCAGGGATCAAACTCATGACCCCCTGCTTGCAAGGCAGGTACTTATGCAGCTGAGCTAAATCCCCAGCCCCTTCCAATTTCTTTTATAGCTCATGAAGTTGTTTCTTTACTTCAGTTGCCATCACTTCTGAAACTTCAGGTGTATCACTCCCAATCTCTTCTGTGTTTACACCTCCTGCATGGATTGGAAGCCAGAGACTGCCTTTTGCTTCCTTGTCTTGACATTTTCTTGGGTCCTTCTGGATAGGCGGGTAGTGGGGTTCCAGGCACTTGCCACATTAGCTACACTTTCTCTGAAGCCTGACAGTTTGGTTCTTCTGTTCAGCGCTGGCCACGGGTATCCAGTGGTGGCCACTGGGTGCACTGATATGGAGCTAGCTGTTGCTTCTCCCAGCCCATGCTGGCTATCAGCGACAGGAAGTGTCCCCAGTAATGGCTGGTGTGTGTGCAGGGGCCTATAGGAGCTTCTTGTCTATCCTTGATATTTAAACTTTGGTGTTATCATGGCAAACATCTTCTTGCAGTTCCCACACCTACAGGTAGGCCTTTTGCCAACTACTAAAGCAAATTAAGCATAGTAAGAGAAGGAAAAGAAGTTAAGAGAAGATGTAAGATTTTAAGGCAAGTTCAAAATTAATTTATTAAATAGGATAAAATACAAAGCTACAAGACATTTTTGTATTTAAGTATTCAAAATAAAACAAACAAGTAAACTGTAAAAAGGTCAAAAAGTTAAAAGTGTTATGGGAAAATTGAAAAAAGCATAAAAATATTATTTTTAAAACTTCATGGAAAAAGGAAAATGATGTAAAAGCCAGAGTAAAGGGACAAAGCACAACCAAAAATAGAAACAAAAGAACAATGGAACAAATAAAAGAATGTATGGTGGCAGCAGACAATAAACCAACCTAAGACTGTAGTTATAAAAAGAATGAGACAAAAACAGAGAAAAAAATGCAACCAAGAGGCAAAGGTTAAAAAGATTGAGAGCTGGCTGCTAAGTCCCGATCATTCAACACCTGCTCTTGGGGCCCCTGGGGTCCCCAACTGCAGAGGCCAACAATGGTCAGGAAGCAGAAAGAAGCCCAGGCTGCTTGTGAATCTGGTACCTGTTTGCACAACAGGCTGAGGCCAGCAAACAGCCTGACCAGGGCCTTTGTATTCTGAGCCACTCCCTATGCCAGGCCAATGGCCAAGCCCCCAGGGCATTACTGCAGTAGGCAGTGCGTTCTTCACTAGCTAAGGGAGCTCTGGGGCACTAACCACTGTCCTGCTGCCCCACCTCCCCAACTCCTTTGTGAATCTCCCACTTCCCAGCCCCTCACTTGCTTTCTGGCTTCAGAAAGTAAAGCCTGCAAGCAGAGAGAGAGAGCCCAGGGGATATGCTACTCTGGGATTCATGCTGGCCCCAAGTAAGCAGGAAAGGAGACAGCCTGTCTGAACAAGCTCACTACCACCCAAGAGTTTACAAGGCAACAGCTCCGTGATTGGCCCCAGGTGTCAGCATGGCAGCTCTGCCTGAGGAAGCCATGACTGTGAGGACCCCACACCACAAGGCCTGCCCAGGCCGCTTCCCAGAAAACCTCTTAGTTTTTACCCAAAGTGGCCAGCTGTCTGTCAGACGAGTTAACTGGCTAGGTTCAGTTGCAATGACTCATAAAAAGATTCAACTGACGACAATCCAGAGTTCCATCACCCTGTTTCAATGCAACTTAGAAGGCTGAGGAAAGCCAGAGGAATCAATTAAAAATTTTTAAAATTCCAGACCTTAACTTGAGGTAAAGAAAAAGTATGGAGGTTAAGAACAGCTAGCTAGAATCATTCCGGTGAGCTGTAAAGAACGGGTAGTCAGGGGCTGGGGATTTAGCTCAGCGGCATAAGCACCTGCCTTGCAAGCAGGCGGTCATGAGGTTGATCCCTGGTACCGATAAAAATGAAAAAGACAAAAAAAAAAAAAAAAAAAAAGAACGGGTGGTCTCCCCACTGCTCCAAAAGCTCACTGGAAATTTAGTTGCTTGGTATTCAGATTTATGTTCTCAGAGCAATGATGCTTGGTGCTGATGCTACCACAGGGCCCACATGCACTCAGCCCACAACCTAGTGGTTCTCTAGCTCAGGAATGGACAACCAGGGTTTGTTTTCATTTTCAATTGTTTTTAATTGGGTGACTGAAGCAGGATTGTTGGTATTAAAAAAAATTAAAGACCATCATGCCATCTCATCTCTGCTGGTCTACTCTTTCCTTCATGTCTTCCTTCTACCCCCCTCCCTCTTGTTGCCTCTCATTCCACTTCTCCTTTCTTCCCTCTCTCCCTGCCCTTTCTGTGGTGCTACAGATTAAACCAGGTCCTCATGCTTGATAAGGCAAGAACTTTATGAGTACACGCTTGGTCCTTTTTTGACTAAATTGGCCTCTAACTCATGATTCTCCTTCCTCAGCCCCAAGGTAGCTGGCATTACCTGCATACACAACCAAAGCCCAGCTATGCCTCCAGTTTTCTGTGGACAAGTATCTCCACCCTCATTCTTGAACCATCCACACAGCCCAAGAGCTCAACCAACATCTGCCGACTGGACAGAGTGGCCCATAGGTGCAGACTGAAGCAGGGGCTCCTGGTGGCATCAAGGTCCAATACATAGGGAACCCATCTGTGGAAAAACCAGCAGGGCCTGTGCAGGCCACACCCTAGAAACATACAAAGGCGGCCTTTGGCCATGGTCTCAGGACTTTTCTGTTGTGGGTCTCTGACAATGAGGATTCATCTCCACCCACACAGTGCTGCAACATAACACAGATATGAAACTGGAAGTTCTGGAACAAAGCAGACATACTACTCGGGATCAGGCACTCAAAGATAAGGGTTACAACTGAAGGTGTGCTTCTATCTGCCCCTTCAGACCACCTGGCCTCCTGTTTTGGATTTCTGGACTCAAACATGAGGGTCCATATGATCCTGTAACTTTCTCCTCTCCCACTCCAACAAAGTAACGTTTCTGAGTCCTTTATAGACTGATCCAAATTGTAAAGTGGCAAAAATAAGCCTCTGTTGTTTTCCTTCACAGTGTGCGTGGTGTGCTTTAATAAGGTCTTTTGGGTGCTCGGACACACACTTGTGCTTTATGAACTTCTTGCGACCATGTGACACTGAAAGCTGCTGTACACAACTTCAGATTTCTTGGCTAATGTCCGGTCTTCATTTGCAACAAATGTTCATTTTAACAATTAAGGTACAGATAGACACCCATGGATGGGAGGGAATACATTTATTTTAGGTATAAAGATTTACTATTATTAACAAGTTATCACTGCTATTTACACGTTTATAAAACGGAAATAAAAATGACATACAGGTTTGGTGCCAAAAGTGGCACACCCAAACTAAAATCAGTACAAAAATAAATTCTCAAGCTACGTGTATTTAAAATAAAAGTCACTGAAAGAGTGAGGGGAAGAATCTGCCTAGTCGCCTGCTGAAACACAATCAGCATGGCAGCAAAGCAGCCCTGGGGCAAATCTGTGCCTGCCGGAGGAGCTGCCCCATGTGTTCTTGCAAGGACGCAGGACAATGAATCAAAGTCAAATACTGTACATCAGAGTTCTGTTCCTGAGCTATGGGAGTTTAGAGCATCTAAACTGGAGGGAATTCCTGCTAAAGGGCAGCTCTGTGGGGTCAGAGTTGAGGAGCTTTCACCAGTGCTCCGCCAGTGGCACCAGCACCCTACATCGTACTCAGAGAGGATGCTAAGTCCACCTGGGAAGGACAGATCCTTGGCTAACTGAGACAGCATGCGAGGCTTCCCATGGGCTACCAGTCCCTTGCATGTCTACTAGCTGCAGATAAGCAGGGACAGGGGCAGAGGACACAAAGCTGCTTGGTTTGGGAACCCTTGTGCCCATCAGGCATCAGCCTTCGCGACCATGGCAGAAATCTCCAGTGTTTCCAAGGCCTCCTGCCTTCAGATACACACTGTGTGCACCGGTAGTGGACAGCACAGCTGTAGCCGTGGCAGGAAAAGCAAAGCCGGCCCAGCACACACTGAGTCCACGCAACATTGTACATCACGCGAGGCAGCTTTCAGAAAGGCTAACTTTCCTCCTCCATCCAGGAGCTGGGCAGGCCCATGCGCCTGTTGAAGTGGGCATGCTGGGTTCAGTGAGCCAAGAACACAGCCCAGCCCACTCCCACTCTGCCTGGGTGCAGTGCAGCAGGATACCTGTCCGTGTAGGCTCCTCTGCGATCCCAGCAAGGACTGCCAATGCTGAGGAGAGCGGGAAGAAAGGGGCGGATGAGTGGGCTACACCCACTCCAGGGTTTCTGAGGTGCCAACTCATCCAGGGCAGCATGGAGTGGAGGACACCAAGCAGTCCCAGCAGCCACAGCTGCACTCGCTCACTGGTCCTGGACCTTGGCTCTCTTGGCTTTCAGGGACAGGTGCTGGAAAAGAACAGCAAACACCACAGTTAGACAGATAAGGAACCAGACTCCAACATAATCCACACAGCAGGCATCAAATTAAGTCATTCATTTGATCTGTGCCTTCTCTAGAAATGCTATACCCTCAGAAAACACTCTGAGAGGGGAAAACCCATGTGACCAATACAGGACACAGGTCTTAGGAGGTTGTAAGCAGCCTTGGCCAACCCACCAAACTGAACCTCACTACACAATGCCATGTGGCAGCTGCCAATAAAGGTTTGACCTCCTACCCACAGGTAGTACCACTGCTGAACACCTTTGCTCAAGGGACTGGACTTCGGCAGAGATGACCTTGACATTCCAAGGAGTTCCCAAAAACAGTCTAAGAAAAGCACTCCCTCCCTAGGAACCAGAGAACAGGCTGGTTTTCCAAGTGCCTCAACATGGCAGCCACCTATACTCAAGGATGGCACTAAACTCATGTTCCTGTCTGCTAAGGGGACATACTAACTAGGAAGGCAGACAAGAAAAAGATGCTTCCTAGTGACCCTTTCCCCAGAAATGTCACAATCAGTAGAAATAATATATGAGGTTTACTAAGACTGTCATCCTGGGTATCAGAAAACACAGCTAAAGAATGAAAATACTCCACATTTTAAGGTAAAATCAAAACACCAGAAATCTTAAAATATACATTTAAGGTATGGCATATGAACACACACTTCTAATAAAGGATCTTCACTCACCAACCAAGGGAAATCTGATACCTCACCGATAATCTCCCCACCTGCAACTGCTAAGTCCCAAACCCCAGCACAGCCACATGGCCACTCAAAAGCCAGGCCTGACACCATCAAATGGAGAACTACAAGCATCGAAAGAACACAGCACAGAGCCACTGCAATCTGAGAGGGGTGGCATCAGGAACTCTGAGCAGCAGCCAGAAGCCAGACTTTCTCTCCACTCAGGCCTGAGGAAGGAGCAGTAAAGGCCAAGCTAGATAACATGCTACCTTTGCGATCAGGAAACATGGTTTAAGAACTAAAAGACAAATCTCTCAACAGGAGCCTATGCCCTTCCCTTGACCAGATATGGGTCTTGCTGAATTTCTCTGAGTTCTCTCTTGTCAGTACTTCATCTGATAGGACCCTACAATAAATATTAAGACATTCATGGCCTTAGCTTGGGAACGGACAATGACACCATCCTGCCTGTGGGGCCATTTTTGGTCCTCAATTTCTGGAAAGAATGTTGGTTATAAACAAAACAAACTTGAACCATTTTGGGTCTCTTTATAGAGTGAGTGCAATACTGAAAGGCGAGAGATGGAAAGTGTCCACTGGTGCCAAGAACAGAGCACAGATGATCTGTGGGTGGTGCACGGTTGTGAGGCATTGAATTATGTTCAACAAAGAACGTCTACCATACATGGGCAGCCCTTGACGACCTGAGAGGGCCTAGGAAAATCAGTCTTCACTGGACAAGTTGATAGCAGAAGTATCTTTGGACTATTTAGTTAAGAAAGGGCGAAGTTTCCCAGAAGAGGGGATTGCAAGTCCCCCCTGCACAATGAGGTTGTTGGCTTCTAAAGTTCTTAAGTCTCTCTAAAAATACTCAGTTCACAGCAGAGGTGATGGGGTGAAAGGCATTTGGAGAGAAGAGACAAGTCCAAAGCTTTGAGCTTGTCATTTCCTTCAAACTTCTCAAGCTATCTGCTCTTTAACTTTGTGAGTTTAACCTAAGGAAATTATAATTTGGAGCCAAGAAAGGAAAATGACTCAGAGATTCTAAGCTAATTCTGTTCTCCATAAGCCCAAAATGAATCCAAGACACTTCCAGGTTTATCACTAACTGCTAGCATATTATTACTTAACAGGCACGTTTACAAGCACAGCCTTTTCTCCACTTCTGGTTTGCATTTCTTAGTCACTTCTTTTGCACTCCTGAAGACTGTTTTCTACTTGAGAGGTTCTGAAAGAAAGTATTTTCTATCTTAGTAAGTTTACTCTTTTCAACTCAATAGAATACAAACAACATACAGTACACTTTCTTCAGTTTCTGCAGATCTGATTTCAAGCAGAAATATCTGTATTAGGGTATATAGAGAACCACAAAGGCCTGTGCTCAGTGGCACACACCTACAATTCCAGCTACTTGAGAGGCTGAAACCGGAGGATCAAGAGTTCAAGGCCAGCCTGAGCGTCTCAGCATGATTCTATGTCAAACATAAAATCTAAATTAAAAAAAAAAAAGATGAGAGATATTACTTAATTAGTGGAGGAGCAGTTGCCTAGCTGGCATCAGGTTCTGGATTCAATCACCCATACCATAAAGGGAAGAAAAAAAAAACTATAAATATTTGAGTTGTCTTTGATTAGATAAGGATTCAGTATTATAAGAAGATTTAAAAAGGGCAATTCCCTTGGACATTACAGAGGAGAGGGATGAGAAGACCCTTTCACTTACAGGGTCACAAACTCAAAGGTCTCTGACTGCTGAGCAAGTGAATAAACAAGTGACATAGGCCTGTGAAACACGGAAAGCAGCAGCCATTCCCTAGCTCCTGCTGATTGCCACCAAGCAGCAACTTGGGCTTTGTGTCACTAGATGTGACATTTATTTCAAGGAAAGTCAGACATTTGTATTTAACTGAAAAAAAATTAAATCCCTTCCTATATTGCCTAACTGGTATTGAACTCCAGGGCTCAAGTGATCTCCCTAACCTTAGCCACCCAAGATCTGGGTCTACAGGCACATGCTACCAAGACCAGCTTAAATCTCAAAATTTTTAAATACAGCAAACAACTCAGATTTTGGTTTGAAACACTGTGTAGTCTGGTTCTTGCCCTGATAGAGAACAGGTCTCAGACTTTCACTTATGCTACAAATAACAGTAAACCTGGACAAAGTATCTGATATCTTTTTTCATGCATTGGAACAGCACAGGACTTTAATCTATAATAAAGAGAGAGCGTATGTGTGTGTGTGTGTGTGTGTGTGTGTGTGTGCGTGCGTGCGTGTGTGTGTGTGCGTGTGTACTGAAGACTGAACTCAGACTTCATATGCTTAAGTGCTCTACCACTGGGCAACATTCTCAGCAGGTTCTGTCATCCTCAAAAAGGAGACAAAGGTGAACTTCACATTCATTCCAGGCCTTATAGAAGACTGGCAGAAACAGAGATGAGAGTTCAAGGCGCTGTGACAGCTGTAATTTGCAGAACAAAGCATAAACAAGGAAGAGTTCCAGAAGTCTACAGAGGGATATCTTGAAGCCTTTGGCTGAATTCCAAGCTGAACATGTGCAGGACCAAATAAGAATGGTAGAGAACAGTACCAGAAAACTACAAGCCAAAATGGAGATTCTGGGGATTCGTGCAGAGGTGGAGAAGATGGAACTTTGTCCCATTTGAGTACTGAGACCTCAGTCAGTATCCCAGGCATATGATACTAGGATATCCACAGAGCTGTATCTTAGACGTACAGCTAGGACCTGCCCCATTAATGACTAAAATCATGTCTCAACAGAATCAAACTGAGGTGCCCGTAAATGAACTGATGTTCAAAAAAATCCCGCACCATTCTATACAAAGGAAACACATCCAGACTCCAGGACACAGCATCTACAACAGCCAGCACACAAGAAATTACTACACAACAGAGGCAGCAAACTGTGACACATTACGAGGAAAAAACAGCCAAAGGCAAAATGGTGTGGATCAGAGATGATCACAGATGAGTTGGTAGACAAAGACTTTAGAATAGTTACTATAAATATATTCAAAGATTTAAAGAAAAGATGGATGCAAATGAGTGCACATGAAGAATTAAAACAGACATTTAAAAAGTAAAAAACAAAATGAAAAGGAGAGCTAAACCTCAAGATAGGACAAGAGAAACTATCCCAAATGAAGCCAGGAAACAGAAAGATCACAGCTTTGTGACTTGTGAGACAATATTAAGTGCTCTAATTCCTACATAAGTGGAGCTGGTAAAGAGACGATGGAGCATAAAAAATACCTTAAGGAAAAACTGTCCTATGATCTGAAACATCAGCTTTAATATCCAACAAGCCCAGTGAACTCCAAGCTGGAAAAACACGAAGATAATCACACATCAAAGGGAAAAAACATTAAAAGCAGCCATAGCAGCAGGGAAACACATTACACATAGAGGAACAACCATGGAAATGACCGCTGGCTTCTCACAAACACTTCAAAATTGACGGCAAACAGATTTAAAATGCTAAAATGAAAAAACAGCCAGGTGTGGTGGTGCATGCCTGTAATCTCAGCACTCAGAAGGCCGAGGCAGGAGGACTGTCATGAGTTTGAGGCCAGCTTGAACTACATAGCAAGACTCTGCCTCAAAACAAAAACAAAAACAAAAAAATAACAACAAAGAACCCTCTTTCAAGCTAGAACTCCATAGAACAAAAATATCTTTCAAACATGAAAATGAAGCAAAGATACTTTCAAAGAAATGAACACTGAGAGGATATTTCCCCAGCAGGTATGTCCTAACAGACACACTGAAGGCAGTTCACTGACGGGAAAGGACACAGGGAGAAGCCTGGATCTCCACAACGAACGACGAACAACAGACATGACAGGCATGAGTGTGGGCAATATAAAACACCTTTCTTTCTTGTTTCTTAACCTCTTTAAAAGATAATTAATTATATAAAACAAAGATAGTAACAATGTATTGTGGGGTTTAAATATACACAGAAATATAAGACAAGACCACAAAGAATGAAACGGGGAAAACAAAGTACACAACTTGTAAGTTTATTATAAGCAAGACAGTGTAATACTAATTCAAGATCAACTGTGCTAAGTTAAGGATGCATCTAACAACCCACAGAGCAAATACAGACACACAAACCACCAAGACACATAAAAGGCCATTAAAAGAAATAAGAATACTTTTAAAAATGGTTTACTTGAAGTAGGCAGTAAAAAAATGAAAAAACAATGAAGTGTACTTAAATCTAACATGTTAAGTGCCTACCTGGCAAGCACAAGGTCCAGAGTTTGATTTCTAGCACAAGAAAGAAAGAAAGAAAGAAAGAAAGAAAGAAAGAAAGAGGAAGAGAAAGGATAAAACAGTTGAAAACCGTGTCAGCTGGGTGTGACACTGAAATGCAGCACTAGGGAAGGTAAAGCAGGAGACCTGCAGCACGTCTGAACCCATCATGGGCTACAGTCAGTTCAAGACCAGCCTGAACTACATAGTGATACTCTGTCTTTAAAAATGCAAATAAAAACAAAAAAACAAACAGTTCAGACCAAAGATGGACTCTAAAGGACCATATTTTGCCAGGAAGTTTGTGACTGACCTGCCAGTCTACTAAACACATCCAACTTTTCTTCAGTTAAAAATCTTGTTAGAAATATGTGCAGCCTTTTCTGGGGCAATGAATTTTTTTCTTTTCTTTTCATTATGGAGTTGAAGGGACTTGTTTTAATTGTACCTCCCTGTGAAGCAAATGATCACGTGCTTTCATTCAGAATGTTACAGAAATGCTAAGTGGAGAGGGGACAACAGATTTCAGCATTAAATTGGAGAAATGTGTATTTAATAGGAAGCAACTGCTAGCTGGCAGTTTGGAGAACTGTCTCTGTTCTTTCCTACCGTTCCTTGTTGATAAAAGTGTGGAGCCAGCTCCAACAGCCAAGCAGATTCGATGGCAGTCACGTCTCTCATGTAATACTTAGAGGTCTGTATAACTTCATTGTAGATGACCCTGTAACAAGAAAAAAGCATGTGCTAGGATGGCCAGGAATACAGTTAGCGATGAGTCTCCCCCTACGCTTCAGCAGGCATGGGCATACCCGGCAGGCCCTGCACTGAGCACAAGCATTTATGCTGCTCACTAAGCATCACAACCTGAGTGTCGTCAGTGTCTATTTTACAGATGAGGCACTGAGTCCCACATTTCCACCCCAGTTAACTGCAAAGAACCTTTCTAGATTCTTAACCTGCATTTAGAGTTCCAAACTGAACTTAAGGACTTAACTAGAAAATGTTGAAATGGAGGTAAAGGCTTCCCTGATTCTGAAAAGGGCTGGGAAATGTCTGTAAGACACAAAGGAACTTCTCAGAGTGATCAAAACTTTAAAAATCTATTTATAATGCAAGCTACATAAATATCTACACTTGACAAAACTGCTCTTTGCCTGTAAATTAAAAGAGGCTGAGGTAATACACAACCAAAAAGCCACGCACATAATTTCAAGTCCGCAGACTTCAGGGGCACACATTAACAGACAGCAGTTTCTGAGTCATCTGAAGTACTGACTCAGAATGCCCCTCAGCACTATGAAAATCCCAGAGCCACACTGTGGTTACCCCTCTAACACCATGCATGAGTCTCAGCTGACAGGAGGAGGAGGAGGAGCAGAAGCCCTCTGCACAGAGACAGGAAGCGAAGATCAACTTCTTAGCCTCCTGAGCAGCCTAGGCCTGGTTGTGCTCCCTCCTTTCCCTGTCTGCCCTTCAGAGTTCCTTGGAAATAGAGCAGGAAAATGAAAAGCCTTTCAAATTTAATCACCCCAAAGTCAGCAAATCCTTAGAAAGGGATCCAGAACTCACGCTTCACTTCCCTCCAGCTTATCCCACACACAATGGCCACGGGTAACATTTCTAAATCTAGAACTGACTAAGTCTGCATTTCCAGCAAGTTTACAGGTGATGCTGATGCTGTTCTGGAGACCACGCTTGGAAAACCACTGTCTGACTACAAATTATCTGACAACAGATCTCCTGCCCTGTAACTTTATCTTCCACACCTTCCCTCCCTGTCTGTAGGTGGGCCCCTCCTTCTTCATCCAGACTCTCCCTCCTTCTTGAAAGTGGTAAAGGATCAGTTATTGTTGTCCTTAACATTTCTAATCCACTGTCAATCAATACTTTTTTATAAAATATACATGAATTAGAAAAATTAAATTCTAAAAGGCAACAAATAAAATTCCTGTAGTAGCACTAAATTGAACAGACATAAACCCAACCTGTCAAAACACTTGAGAAATGTCTACATGTCGTCTCCTCATTTCCACACTTAACTTTTCCTTCGCAGCCAGTTTTGTATATTGGCAGGGGTCACCCCTTAAGTGGCCTTTAACAGTCACACCATGACTTCCCAGCCCCTAAAAAAATGAGGTTCCTTCATACGGCCAGAGCTTTGCCCATCCTACTTCCTCAGTTCAAATACTCATCAGACCTTTTGGCCTGAAAAACTCACCTGGAGGGCCAGGGAAAATGTTATCTCCTCCATAAAGCAAGCCCTGACTCTATCTGGCACTTGAGTGCCAACCTCAGCAAACCCCCTCTGCATGTAGCACAGGAACCTGCCTGGATCTCTCCATGCCAGGAGTGTGGGCTGGACCCCAGGTCATCTCAGCATAGCTGTGCTATGCAGGGATTAGCATCTAGTCAGTGGTAAAAGTAAACACTGGTTCAGAGGATGAGTGAGGAGATACATATCACTATTTCCTTATGGGGATCTTTCATGGCAAAGACTGAGCATAATAACAAAGCCAACAAACACATACACAGCATCTATATTCCAGGGCCTGTGCCAGACCCCAGAGACGGAGAGATGAAGAACAACTAGGGCTTGCTCCCAAGACAGGCCTCAGGCCCAGTAGCAGGAGGGGCTTACCAGCGAGGTGGCTTCTCTGGGTAGAGGACTGATGCAGGGTGGATGTGCAGTTCATGATCGTCACGGATGGTCCTTAGGAGACAGAAGTTTGTCTGAAGCACATTTTAAGTACCTACAGCAAAACTTTCCCACAGATTTAAAAAAAAAAAAAATACTACCCAAAAATGCAAGCACACTTTCACCTGAATAAAACACTTTTCTCCATCTTCCCTGTACCCTACTTGACTCGCCCCTGTCTGCTGCCATAGGTATAAAGAATAAATCATGAGAAAAGAGAAGAAAAGCGACATGTTACACTCAGAAAAAACACAGTGAGATATAATGTTCTATTCTTGCTTATGCTTATATTTCGCAGGCTTTTCCATACAAATTTTCTTTGGGCAGAAGTAATACATGTGATTTCTTCTATGAGCTTTCTAATTACACAGAGTTAAATACTAAGGTTAAAGACTACAACAAAAGTTAAGAATAGCTGAATAAGCAAGCTTAGTATTGGTCCGTGAGTCTCTCTGAAAGTTATCTTCAATTCCAACTAAGATTTCTTTCAATTTAATTAAAAAATCATTTCTTGAACATGTAATTACCAATCAAATCAGATCATAAAAGAAGACTAACAGACTAGGATGCTGCTGCCCCAAACAGTTATGTAGTATGCCTATCAGCAAAAGGGCTCTGCTCATCAGAAGAAACGCTTCAAGTCCCAGGACAGAGGTCATTACCAGAACCATAATAAAGCCAGCATTCGGGGCCCCGGCTATCCCATCGGATGGTGGTGAAGTGACACTGAACTTTGTCTCAAGGGAATAATGGACCTGGAGTCTCTTGTGTAAGCTCTATTTTTGTTGAAGACATTAGTGAGATGATTATTAGAAGGCTCATTGAAATGGTCGAGAGAGAAAGAGAGAGAGAGAGAGAGAGAGAGAGAGAGAGACAGAGACAGAGAGAGAGAGAGAGAGAGAGAGAGAGAGAGAGAGAGAGAGTGAATGTTAATCAGCAACCATTCAGCGCAAGAGAGCAATCCACACAAGTGAGAGGCACGTACTGGGGAGCTCAGGCCTCATCTCCCACCTGCAAGGGTGCCTGAAACACACACAGTTCGGGGGCAGAGGCAGGTGACAGGCAACAATCATGAGTGTGATACTCTAGACCACTCTGCTGGAGTGACAAATAAAACAACTAGACAGAAATGTAAAGTGCAGTCAGCTTCCAGGATACTGGATGAGACAGAGCCAGCTGCAAAATTTGAAAAATCCTCCTTAAACTCTAGACCCTTTAACAGAAGCCCAGTGTCTGGGGAAACAAATCTCTTAGTTGTCTCAGATGAGAGGACTCCAATATTTTCTGAGAGGGAAAAAAAAGAGCAAATAATGGCAAAACAATATATTGAAGATATCTGAAAAGGAGCTGAGGAGAAATCTTCCGAATGGCCCCTTATTAAAGATGAGAAGCGATGAGCACCACACTTTAAACAGGCCACAGTGAAGCGAGGAGGATCCAGTGAGCCACGGGACAGCAAAGACAAGTGAAAAGTGCAATTCAAGGAACAAGAATGACAGCTTTGGAGAAAAGAAGGACCTTTACTACATTTGAACATAATAAAGGTATCACAGGCATCAGTGCTCAGTGATTGCATCTGAAAACTGCAGCCTGGAGCAGGAGGCACAGTGACATGAAGAAACCACTGTGGCCACAACGTACCAGTGACCTCAGTCATAACGAACAAGTAACCTCTCTGGGAAACATCATCATTAAATTAACCATTTCTTCTGGTGGAATTATTCCATTATTAGAAATGAGATATTACCAGCCTCTAGTCACATAACTGTATCCTTCTTAAAACAACCATTACAACACGTGGATGGGCCAAACATTTAAGAACTATTTCCAGAGAATTAAGATAATTAGCTTAAAGCTATATAGACAATGTCAACTCAGTTTTGGAAGAAGCCATAATATGAATTAAAAATAAAGTCTCTACTATCTCTACATACCAGTTTTCTGTGGGGTTTGGGTTATTTTAAACATTTCTCCTTTAACAAGTGACTTCATAAAATATCATGTTACCTATAAGCTCCAGTAGAATGGAACCTTGCTGCATTTGCGAAGAATCCAGAAACAATGCACCTCAGGACTGGATCTGGATCACCTGCACAGAAAACAGTGAGGGCTGAAGCCCTGGGGTGCGCCGTGCTCCACTCACTACGGCCTCTGCTGTGCCTCACGGGACCCAGGCCTAGCCCCACTCCTGGCTGCTTCACGCCACCTCGAAACCACCTGCTGGGCCAGCCCACTGCTGTACTGTCCCATGCTGGATGCCTTTCCTTCCCCAAGCCACCTGGGGAAGCCCCCATTTCCGTAATGGCTGTCGAGGAAATAAGCTTTGGCCTGTTCCTTTAACTGGGAGATCCTCCAACCCCCCAAACCACAGGTGACAAGAACAACGCTGGGCACAAGAACCTAAGACAGCCACTCCACAAGTTGGAGGAGACCTCAGAATTCCTTCTTAAGAGAACATCTCGTGGGAATGATATTCTTTGCACAAGACCCAAGTTGTAATACTACACATCATTATTTCCGTGGTGTAAGACATAGTATGTGATGCTTTGATATCTGCAAACCTTCCATTTCAGTTGGTGCTTCTATTGCTACAGTAAACATCTTTTGTGGATAAAAGCTTCTCCATTTATTATGATGTCCATAAGATAAATTCTAAATTATACAAAAGCATAGTATCATTTGTATGGCTTATATCATTCAATTTTAATTTTTTTATTTTTCTATACTTTAATTCACTGAAATCAGGACAGCATTTTGTAGTAATAGTGACACTTTTTTCTGATACATAAAATAATAACAATATCTTACATCCAATGAAATACAATATTTGGCAAACAAATTCCCTAAAAGTGTTACAGTTTAGAAAGCCATCAATACATTAAAATATCAGTTTCACTGTATTTTTTGGCAAAGACTTATCTTCTTTTATAATTATTTGATTACTCCTACTATGCAAGTAAATCTTCTTTTGTGAATTCTATATAATAATCCTTCACTCATTTATTGATTGGACATTAGTGTTTTTTCCTAAACAGATTAAATAAAATTTTAAACTAAAGTTCTGGATCTTTTATCTCATGACTGCTAAATATATTTTTTACTATTCACTTTCTATATCCTTTAATTTTGAGTATAATTTATTTAACTTCTATGGTTTTATTTTTCTTAAGCAGAGAAATGACACATCTCTAATCTTTATCTCTACTCATCATTTGATCTAAGACTCGGTCTTTTTTTTTTTTCCCCCCCATAAGAACTTTCATATAAAACATGCATTCTTCTTGAGGGCAATATCACCTCTAAAAACTGAAAACTGCTCCTTGGGGATGGAGGTAAGGAGGCTTCTTAGATATTACAATGGCTTGTGGCACTCCAAAGCTCAACTCTCCTTTACAAAGTCTTACTCCTGAGCATGGAATTCCTTGATAAGAATAACATCTAGTTTTGTCCCGGTAGCAGGTTGATAATTAACAGGTCCAGATACACAGATTCAGAAACAAGGCTGTAATCACTCTGCAGGGGCCTGTCCAATTAGCTGCCCTTTGTAAGCTTCCTGTTTCTATTGATGCCACCAACATGACCCAGTCACACAGGTTTCAACTCTTCCCTCTCTTGTCAGCATCTAACTTGTTCCTTATTCCAAGCACTTGTCCCAAAGTGCTCTGGTCTAGCATACCCTTTCTATTATTTTCTATTTCCACCAGTGCTCAATGAGACTGCCACCACCCCTCAAGAAGCTGGCTCTATGGGGTTCCCTCTTCTGCACGGCTGGTACACTTGTCACTGTATATATTATTGCTGAAGTGTCCATTATTTTAAATTCCAACTGATATATATATAATGTATTTCTCCCTTCATACACTAGGCCCTAAGAATAAGAACCAAGTCTTGGTCACTTTCTAATCATTTGTTCTTGTTCTTGACACAAAGATAATGTAAGAGTCTGAAATAACATTGCCTGGGTTCAAGTTCTGACTCCACCACACACTTCCTGTGTGATCTCTGGCCAACCTACCTCTGGCCCCTTAGCCTCATTATTCTCATCTAAAAATGAAGATAACAGCGCACATTTGCATAGCTGCTGTGTACTTGAATTAATTAACATGAAAACATTCAGAATACTGCCTGGACTGTTAGAAGCACTCAAGAAATGTTAACAAGTACCAGTGGGGTTGAGAATGTGACTGAGTACCTAGCACACAGTAGACTTTCAATTGCTGGATGCCTGAGCAGACGTAGTACTTCCTGAGAAGTGTGGGCTTCTGTATTGCCCAGATGGGGCTCTGCTAACCACCAACCATGTTGTCTAAACATAATTTAACTGCTCCCTAGGACTTCCTGACTTCTCTGTAAAGTAAGGGTGTTAGCCAAGTGTGGTGGCACACCTGCATTCCCAGCACTTGGGAGCTGAGACAAGAGGACCCCTGTGAGTTCGAGGCCAGCCTGGGTTACATGGTGAGTTCAAGGCTAACATAAACTACACTGTAAGACTCTGTCTCAAGATAAAAGATGCTGCGTGGATACCTGCCACAGTGGGCGATGAACCGAGGGAACAGATGTAGAGTCCTGGGTACACTGTGACCTACTATATCCCTGATCAATGGCCATCACTGGCACCATCAGAGGTCACAGACTACATTTTATATTGTCCTGTTCAGTCCTATCCTTACACACATGTGCTTGCTTTAACAATGCTGGCATCAAAAAAGAAAATGTAATTTTTATGTAACAGTCATAAATTCCAACCACTTAAAAGTAATTTTCCTTGCCATAACCACATGGTCACATTAATTATATGATGTACAATGCTATGAATGTTAATGATTCTTAAGTGTGGTCATAAGCTTTATGATATTTTTGTTTTTGTTCTTAAAGGATAGCCCTGAGAAATACAAATGAAACTCCCAAAGAAAGCTTTTTTCAGGCAGGTAATTCAAAGGTGAACCCTGGTGCAGGGCCAGAGCACACTGTACAGTCTCATACCAGCCCAGCATAAGAACAATAAGAACGCGACCAAGTCAAGCAAAGAGCGAGCAGTCAGACAGGGGCAATTCATTCTCACCTTCACTAGACTTCTTGGGCACCTGAAACTTGACAAGTAGCTTTTTCAACTGTTCTCTCACCGTCGCGGCTCTGACAAGGCCCTTGTAATTCAGGAAATGCTCTTGACACCATTGCGAGTTTTTATTGTGCTACAGAACAACCCAGACAGAGGGAGTATTAGAGGAACATGGGAATGACCCAGTGAGGGCGATATTGTGAGGACAATTCTGTCCCTTTCCCTACTACCTTGTTCAATGAGATACAATCTTCGGATTATGACTCGCCTTATTTTGGTCCTGTCTCAAAACACATGTTGGCAACCATGCTCCCATGGGATGTCTCTGCAACCCCCAGTCTCCACACTGAGGAGCAAAGGGGAACTGAGGGGTAAACAGAGCCGTTTGTAACTCAAATATAAACATGAGACATCAATGATCAGAGAGGGCCTCATCTCTGTGGTGCTTTGTAAATCAACTCTTTCTTTGGCAAGATTCACTTTATAACTTTATCACTATAGACAAGCAATATGGCACTTGCCAATGCAAAAGTAAGTTGCAAATTATTATCTGTCCCCAAAAATATGATTTTTCCATGGAACAGTGCTTAATTTCATTCCAAATTCTTAAGTAAGACTTAATTTTCTTGGATTAAATTTTTGCTCTGGGAATGTACCTCTGAAATTACATTGTAAGCCAGGGTGGAAAGTCCTTTAAAATAAAATGTATTTCATAAAGGATTTTTCCAGATGGCAACTACAGAATACAATGTAGACTCACATCAACATTCTATTGGTAGGAAAAGCTTCAGATTAGAAATGGTACTCATGAAAATGAATTTTAACTGATTTAATCTATAAGTTAAAATGTTTTTCTTTTCCTGAATACTACTTATTAACTGATTCATCTTCAAATATCTGGTAAAACAAAAATTTGGTATATCTCCTCTGAAAAAGTATGTAAGTGAATAATGAAAATGTGAAGTATGATTCCCTTTCCTTTATATGAGAAGTTTCCTTTTTCATCCATTGCCATCATCTTTAACTTACTCTAACATTTTTTAGTGAGAACATTAAGCTATATTATTTCCAGTTAGTATTCAAGGACATTAGGAATAAAAAGTCAACAATGAAAACTAAACAAGAGTAGGGTATGTTGACATGGCCAAACATATTCTCACGGAAGGCAGGATAACACCAATGAAACAACCATGATTATAAAGCATCCTCATCCTTTTTCATCTAGCAGAAAATATAACAGAATTTCCTATTCGAATGTTACCTTTCTGTCCAATACCTCGTAGATGGAAAGATACTGAAAAGCCAAGGCCTTACCTCAAGCCTCTACCAAATCATGTCACTAGGCAGGAAACACCAACAAATGATCCCTGCGTACACCCGGCAACAGCGAAAGAGAAGCTCAGCATGACACCTAATCTACTGGCAAGACATCTAACAGGAAAATAAAGGAATCTCTTGCCATTCCTTTGTCTACTAACTTCTGGTATCCCCCCTTCCAAATCACACCAGGTGAGCAGGTGTGGGCTGGGTCCCTCTGGGTGGTAGCTGTGCTTACTTTGATAAACGCTTCATACACGTTGAGCATGGTGAGGTGATCACCCTCCTCCACAGCAAATTTTCGGTGCATTCGGATCTGGAAAGAACAGCATGTCATTTGGAAACTGACTGCTATGAGGCTGGAAGTGATATTGCACACTGAATGGCATACAGTGGTGAATTCAGAAAAGTCTGGTTCACACCATCCCAGTTGTGCCATACCTGAGAGCCCTCCTAAGTTACAATATGTTTATCTGTTTGTTTTTCTAGAAACTACTTAATTGAATCCTCTTCAAGTATCTGGTAAAACAAAAATTTGATATTTCTCTTCAGATTGATAACCTGACCCTTTCTTGGTAACCTGGCCTTTCTTATCTGTAAAATCAGGAAATTAAACCTCTTCATTGAGACTGCTATAAAGTAAGATAATTTAAAGTTCCTGGCACAGAAGCTTGATAAATGTTAATGTCCTTACTTCTCTCCTCCCAGTTCCCAGCACCATGCAGTGTCCAAGGAGGGCAGAGGTATGCTGCCCAGCACATCGTAGACACTCTATGGTCCTAGGCCATCACCAGCTGCACAATCTTCAGACCCCACCCTTGAATTCCTCCTGTAAGATTCTGAATACGCTATTTGTTCCCCTGGATCAAGGAGCACCAAGTACACAGATTTCAGAATTTTACCCCCAACTAAATATCGTGTTACCTTCTTTCCTTCCTTTTTCATCTCTCCTTCCCTTCTCTCCTCTCATTAAATGTTTTTTAAACCAAGAACCTAATATAGATCAGGTACTGTTACTGGCACTTGGGATACAACACTGAAGAAAACTGGTGGGAGAAAGATAACAAAGATAAGCAGAACGTGTAGGCTGTCAGGTGATCAGAAGCACCAGAGGAGCAGCGTAAAGCTGGGAATGGACATGGGAAGTAAAGAGACGCTCCGATTTTAGACAAAGGGGAAAGAACTTCAGTTTTCTCCTTTTTAAAGTTTGAGTGTTCCTGTCCTGAAGTAGGACTGTTAAAAAGGTTAACCAATAGACAAAAACACCTGAGAAATGGACCTACAGGAAAACTCTGTCATTTGTAGACACACAACTGTTGAGAGGCTCCCAACATCTGTGAGAGAAGTAGTCTCCCTTCTACAAATCTGAGTTCACCCTCCCTGCACAAAGCTGCTGCTCCCTGCACATAGCTGAGTCCTAGACCTGTGCCCACCTCCATCAACATCCTCCCCTTCCCAGGGCTCTTCAGTACCCTAACTTGTGCTCCAGTCTTTCCCACCTTCACTCTCTCAGTCAGTACCTCTGCCTGTGTCTCAGGCAGCTCCTGGCACCTCAATTTCAGCTCCCAATGTCCCCTCTACAACACACAATGGAGCAGTGTGGTGCGTACAACCAGCCTGCCCAGGCATTGACTCCTTATGTTACTAATGTAACCCACCATCCGAGTTCCCTGGTGAGAAACTGAAAGTCAACAGTACAGCAGTTAAGGTTGGGGCCCTGGATTTGAAAGCCCACTCTGCCAATTCCAGCTGTATAATCATCAGTAAGTTGCCTAACTCTGTGGACTTCCATCTCTAAGATATAACATTATCTACCTGTGAAGTTTATGATAAAGACAAAACAAAATTGTGTGTGTAAAGGGCTTAGCACCATGGCAGACAGAAAGCTGATATCATTTGCACAGCTGTCATTGCTAAGTTCTGGGCAAGTCTCAACAAGGAATATCCCAAGTGAAAGAGAATGACATGAACAGCTTGAGGAGTAAACTGGACTTACTGCCTGAGACTTCTGGTTTGAGGGGATCACAAAGATATTCTGAATCTGCATCATGGCTGCAATGCTCAGAATTTCCTGAGAACATCCAAAATTTCCTGTAAAGTAAAAAGGCGTGTTTGACTATAAACATGCATATCAACAAGGAGTAAGAGATATTTCCTTTGTACCATAAAATAAGTAGCAGTAAAATAAGATAGTTTAACTTTTACAGTCTATGTAACATGAATAATTCACTCTGCCAAATGGAATGCCCTACATAGGCTGAGCCTTGAAGGACTCAAAGAAAAACATGCGATCCCACTCTGCAGCTGGAACACTGAGGGCACGGATTGTTAACCACGGTGGGGTCCAGACTGGTCAAGGTAAGGGCAGCTCCACCCCTGCTCCCTACTCCTGTGTGGACAACTAGAATCCTGGTAGTAAGGCTGGGGAAAAAGGGGACAATGAGTGTGTGTGAGTTGCATCCCTCCTTCTGTCTCTCTGTTCTTGGCCCTTCTGTGTGGGTTTTCAAAAGTTCTCATCTCTCCCAGGAAGGCCAAGGCAGAAGCAGATAGAACAGCACTCAACATGCTGTTCCCAGTAGCACCCAGAACAAGATCTGCCAAGACCAGTCTTCCACGGTGCTGGACAGAGCAGATCACATGGCCTGTCACCCCTCTCAAAGCTCATGTGTGATGTATTCTCCCAACCCAACGCTTAGAATTTGCTTTTCAGTGTAAAGCGAAGGGCATCTGGCTGTTACAAAACACAATTGTAGATAACTTTCACCATGCTGTTTCTGACACATATCCTCAAAAATCGCCAGCTAATACACAAAAGTTAGAAAAAAACAAAACAAAAAGTTACCTTTTCCAAAAGGGAAAAAACAACCTATGTCTACATGATTTTGATTTCTAATTAAACAGGTCTCCAGGTTACATATGTTTATCCTAGAATTCATGTCCTCACAAAAATCTGAAGAGTATCAGAGAAAATGGAACCTTGTAGATTGCAGGTAGAAATACAAAACAAAACAGGTACTGTGACAAATACTATGGTACTTCCTTACAAACTTAAATTCAACACAGTCATACTGGAAAATACTGTAGATAGTGTAAGTATTCAAAAAAACTAAAGTAGAGATTCACACATGGGAAGAATTTCTAAACTATTTTCAGGAGCAGATTATATAATACACGATGTAATGAACAGATACTCTGAAGAAGAGACACTAAGAAACCAAATGCTAATTCTATAGCATTATGAAATAAAATTTAGCAATAGTATTATTCACCGTTCAGAGTGTATTAGTCTAGTTTCTTATGTTCAATTTCAGCATACGTAAAGATGAAGACAGCTACTTCGAAGAGAATGAGAGACATTATGGTAGTCATTATTGACTTCCCCAAAATCAGATCTTGAAGACCTAAAAAGCCTTCATCATCCTGTAATGATTTGATTAGTTCTATAATGTTCAGTATATATTCAATGTGTGTGAAGATGGGGACAACTATTTGGAAGAAAACTAGAGACAATAAGATAGACAGTGAAGATCTCCAGTGGACTTGCTTTGAAATCTGTGTTTCTTTAAATTGTTTCCTTATGAACTGTTTTGTTCTGTTTTGACATGTTTAATCTTACCCTCTTTAAGATAAAAAACAAGTGTGTAGGACTGATAGCCATATTACTAAGTTTTTGTTGGATCATTGAGCAGAACTGTTTGCAGTGTTATTATTTGAGTATCACTTTGCGTGCTTTAATTTTGTAACTTGAACAACTATTTCTAAGATGACAATATATAACTTTCAACTAGTGATTTCTTACTATTTATTTTTCTGAAATTCTGTATTATTTCTACCCTTTTTTTCTGTTTTTTTTTTTTTTTTTTCTCTCTTTAAAAAAAAAAGAACTGAGAAAAAAAAAAACTAAAAACACAATTTCCACATGATATAGTAATCCCACTTCTGGGTGTACATCAAAAAGAACTGCAATTGGGATGTAAACGCAAAATCTGCACTCCTGTGTTTATCACAGCATTACTGACAATCAGCTTTAATGGAAGCAACTAACAGATTCATCAATGGATGAATGGATAATTAAAAATCTGGTACATACAAAACGGTATACCACAAAGCCTTTAAAAAAAGAAAATCCTGTCATTCCAGATAATACAGATAAAGCTACAGGGTGATAGTAAGTGAAATAAATCAGGTACTGAATCGCAACCACTATTATTTCACTTATATGTGGGATCTAAAAAAGTAATCTCACAGAAACAGCAGAAAGGAAGTCACCAGAAGCTGGAAGAGAGGAAAAAGAAAGGGGAGATGCTGACTAAAGAACACAAGATTTCATATTGGAAGAGTAAGTTTTAGTATTTCCTTGCAATGAATAGTGACCATGGTTAATAATAATGTAATACATACTTCAAAACTGCTAAAAGAATAGATTTTTTTATTCACAGAAACATCACGAAATGGTAAGGTAACAGATATGCTTGATTGACTCTGCAGCATACACATAGATCAATATATTGCATTGTATCCCATATACACAATTACTATTTGCCAATTAAAAATAAATACTTTTCCACGAAATTAAATCATGAGTGGTCATATGATGTAGTGATTCCGCTGTGGGGTATATAACCAGAAGTGAAAGCAAGGATTCAAAGAGGTGTTTGCACATCTAAGTTCACTGCAGCACTGGTTCACAACAGCTGAAAGACAGGAGCAACCTCAGTGGCCCTCAACAGGTAAACAAAGAGTGGCACAGACATACACTGCATCATTCAAGCCTCAAAAAGGGAGGAAATTTTGACATATGTCATCTATTACGTGGATAAACGTTGAAGATATAATGCTTAATGTATTGTAAAGTTTTACTTATATAAGGTTGCTGGAGTAATCAAATTCATAAAAACAGAATAGAGAAGGTTGGTTACTGAGAGGAGGAGGAAATGTGTGGCATCGTATTTAGCGGGCATGGAAATCCAGTGAGTAAAATGGAAAAGGTCCCAGAGACAGTTGGTACTGATAGTTGCACACCAATGAATGTACCTAACATCTCAGATCTATGTACTTAAAGAGTTAAACTGGGAGTAGTGATGCAACCTATACTCTCAGCTATTTAGGAAGCTGGGGCCTGAACACTGCAAGTTTGAGACCAGCCTGAAAAACTTCAGAAGACTGTCTCACACAAAAAAGAAGGACGCGAATGAGGTGTAGGGACTGCAGCTCAGGGGGAAAGAACTTGCCTCAGTCATGCATTCAATCTCAAGTACCACGCCAAAAAAGGTATTTTAAAATGGTGAATTTTTGTGTTGTTTCTAATCAACAACTGACAATAAAAATAAGTTCAGCACAAGTCGTCAGGTTCTACCCACCTGATTCAAGCAGCATTTTGGCGAACATGGGATTCAAAGGAAATTCTGCTATTCTCATGCCAAGTGGCTCAGTCAGATGACAGTCTTTGTCCAGACCTGCCAGGAGAACAACAAAAAACAAAAGTCAGAAGGCATGTACCATTATGCTGGAAGATGTACAGTTATTGAGAGAATAAAAGATGATGTATGCTTTTAAAAAGAATCCAAAAGATGACTCACGTACTACCAAACTCAATTTGATATCAGAGAGCCTTTGCATAGAAAGAAGAAAAGTCTCACTGAGCTGAATACCCAGTTGTTAAAAGCTGCTACTTCTAATAACTTATATCCAAAGACTTAATGACAGGAAGACAGTCCAGCAGCAGCTTCTTCATTCCTTCCATCCCCACTGCTGCACAGAGGCAGTGCTAAGTCCCGCCTGTCCCAGTATCTAGGTGCCGCTAGATACAGTCTCCAGCAGCAGCTGACCCTGCTGACCACGGCTTCTGGGAACTCTTCTTCCCTAGCTTGTATCCACCCACTCGTGGTTCTCTCCCACCTCTCCAAGGGCTCCCCCTCAGTGACCTTCTGGATCAAGGCCAGTAACTCTGGATCTAAGTGCTAGCCCAGACCTTTCTAGTCCTTACAGTATACCTGTTCACCCAGCTGTCCCCTAGGCAGTTTACTGAACTTGGCAGACTCCTAATCAGCTCACTATCTTTCTTCCAGGCCTTTCTACTGCTTGCTAATACCCAGGTATGACATTCCTAAGACCCTAGGTATAGACAGTTGTTTCACTCATTCTGTCTCAGAATGAGACAGAAAAGGTTATTTTTCTCCTGTTCTAATGTAATCATCTCTTTAAAGGTGAAGCTAAGTTAAGTTGGAGGTGTCCCTCTGCTTTTCCCAGGTTACTCAGGGTATCAAAAAAATAGAAAACATTTTAACTTTGGTTGTTTTATTGAAGAAAAACCAATCCAAATGAAAAATACCTACAGAGATAATGTTCTCTCAGTTAATCTTGCTTTCAAATACCTATCACATGCTAAAGAACAGGAGACATAAGTCTATTACTACAAACTCACTCTAGGCTAATCTTCTGTGGTCCATGCTGAAGACTTTAAATCAACAGAGAGCTTTTACATCAGTAAATTCACAGAGAAACATCAAACATACAATGAATTTAAAAGGCTTCCTACAGTACAAACAAAAAGATTAAACAAAATGAACCACAAACTTAAGAGTCAAAACTACAAAATTCTTTGAAGAAACCTAGAATTTAATATGTTAGATATTTATTTATTTATTTATTTATGATGCTAGAACCTTGGGCTTTGCACATGCTAAAGACAAGTTCTACCACTAAGCTGTATGCCCATCCTGTAATCAATGTTTTCTTAATACAATACCAATAGCCCAAGTGATGAAGAAAAACTCAGTAAACTGAGCTACACAAAAACTTAAACTTTGTATACTGCAAATACCATTAAGTAAAACCATTTACAAACTTCGAAGAAGTTTGTATAGAATATACACAGAATTTCTCCAATTCAATAATAAAAAGCCAATAACCCAAATAAAATTGAGCAAAGGATTTGAATAGGTACTTCTATTCAGACTCAGACCTCAAGATCTGTGGGTTCCAACCCTGGATTCAATGAATGACAGTCTGAAAATACTCATTAAAAAAATGGTGTACTGATCACATGCCGACTTTTTTCTTATCATTATTACATAAATAACACAGGAGAATAACTATTCACATATCAGTTGTATTGCACTAAGCATAATAAGTAATCTAGAGATGATTTAAAGTATACAGGCAGTAGCCTGTAGATTGTATACATATACTATACCACTTGAGACTTGAGTATCTATGGATCTGCTATCCAAACAGGGTCCTGGAACCAAGTCTCCAGAGACACTGTATACAGATGGCAAATAAGTATATAAAATGATGCCTAACACTATGAGTCATCAGGGAACCACAAACCTCACCCACTAGATCCCATTCTATATCTACTAGGATGGCTGTAACACAAAAGCCAGACCACAACAAGCATTGGTCACAATGTAGAAAAACTGGAATTCTCATACACTGCTGGGGGGAAATGTACCCCAAAATTTCTATGATGATGTTCATAGGAGCACAATTTATGCTACAAAATGTAGAGACCCACATGTCCATCGACTACTCAAAGGATAAAAATAATATGTGGTATATCCATACAGTACAATATTATTTAGCAAAAAATGAGGAATAAAGTCCTAATACAAGCTACAATATGGATAAAGCTTGGAAATCGGCTAAATGAAGAAGCCAAACACAGAAGAACACATGTATGATTCCACTAATAAGCAATATCTAGAATATGTAAATCCCTAGAGATAAAACCAGACTAGGCTAACGAGTAGGGGATTATCTTTTCTCTGTGTGATAAAAAATGTTCTAAAACTAGCTTAAGAAGATTAAAACTGTGAATATACCCAAAGACAATGAATCACACACTGTAAATGAGTGGTAATTTACACCTCAACAAAGCTTTTCAAATGAGAAACACTCAAAACAAATCTCAGGACAAAACCCCCCAGCTTGATACCAAACGGGACTTGACACCCACATGGGCACTGTGTACAAACATGGTACTACCTGAGGAGGTGAGTTCAGGCTACAGTCGTCTCTACCTTAATGTCCATCCCACGTTTTCAAACAGGGGTTGCTCTATAACATGACATTTCCTTGCCCAAGCAATAGCCCAAACTGGTGATATACCCAATTCCCCACAGAGAACACCAGGAGAAAAATGAAGGGGAACTGTGGAGAGAAACACTGAGCCACAGAATCTAGGATGTTGGGAGAGATTCAGAAGGACAGCTGAGTGGGCAGCATCTGAAGTCCGATGGAGTCTGGAAGGTGTGCAGCCTTAGTAACCGTTTTCCATCATTTTTGGTATAAAGGCATGTTTTATGATTGTCATAACTGCCCTTCATGTACTATTTGTCTAATTATGGTCCCAACTTATTTCAATAGTGTCATTAAAAGTGGAAAGGATTAATCATATTGAAGATACTAATAAACCTAAAATAAATCCAACTCACTACCATCACACAGGACAACAAATAATAAGATAGAAACAAGCATACCTCCCAGGGCATAGAGTAACTCCAAAGCTTGAACCATCGACTGTGCTGGAGGGGGCTGTAAAATAAATGAAAGGTCTCCTAAATTAACTTTTTTGGGCAAGGAACATAAAACATGACCCCTTCCTGCTCAAATCCACTTTCCTTCTAACATGCCCCATTCTCCCCAGCTTCTGTGCTTCGCTGCTGCTGTCTGTGCCCCCTTGAAACCACCTTCAGCATCCTTAGGACTACTGTACTTGCCCTTCGAGGATCAGCGCTATTAAACACTTCCCCTAACAGCTCCCTCACACTTTCTTCATCAGAGGTGACAGTCACTACTTTAAACTACTTCATTGTGCCCAAGCTCTCCCCAGACACTTCTAGCTTCCACTTCATAGGCCCCTATGTTAGGAACCCCAAGGTACTGCAGTGCTCACATGTGATCTCATCTTTGTAAAACCCAGAGCCCTGCTCTGACTGGGCCAACGTCTGCTGAATCTGAACTTCTGAAAATAACAGAATGCTAAATAATCTGAAGTTAAGCAAAGCTGATACTGTGATCTTCAGTCTGATTCTCTGGGTCCTTACCACCTTCCTTTTCTCTATGAGTCTTTGAATCAGGCATGATTACTTTCATTTTTCTACATTACTTGGTTTCTAATAGGCCAGGTAATAAAACTATAGAACTTTTGCAAACTGCATAGCTTTTCTTCTAAATGCATTTATATAAGAAATATATAATCCACCCAAAAAACATATACACAGTTTAGGAGTTCATTGTACTAATCAATGTCTGGAAAAATAAATAAATAAATAAATAACTGTCTGGAAGTTAATGGCCACCACTTTGAGCACCTCTTATTATTATAAGAAGCCAAAGGTGACTTTTATTAACCTATGTCTCAATAAATTTAGTATGAAAATATTTACACATTTTCCTTTCCCTAGAGTACACATTAATTTGGCAGTCTCTCTCTCTCTCTCTCTCTCTCTCTCTATATATATATATATATATATATATATATATATGTATGTATATATATATATATATATACATACATATATATATTTAAAGCTTTTATTAGTACATGTTTACATTACACAATGATTACACTCAGGGTAGGGTACATGCATATAACCCATCTGAATTCCTTTCTCTCCCCACCACCCCGCTCACTCTATGCTCTTTGTATTTTTCAAATATCATATTCATTTATAAGACCTTATAAAGTTAATTATCATACATACAGATTGAAAACCAGACTAACAGGCCAAAGAACGTATAAAACATGTAGGACAATTATAAATATACTTTAAGAATCACATTGTTTTGACTCAGTTTTACAAATGCAGAAACTAATAGTGAGTTCTATACAGTTACACAGGTTTATATTGACTGACTGACCAATTGATTTAAGACAGGGTATTACTATGTAGTTCAGGCTGGCCTCAAAACTCATGGTGCTCCTCCTGCTTTAGACTCCCAAATGCTGGGATTACAGGTGAGTGCCACAATGCCATTTTGTTTGCTTGCTTGTTTGTTTTTGAGACAGGGTCTTGCTATTGAGACAGGGTTTTGCTACGTAGCCCAGACTGGCCTGGAACTCCAGGCGATCTTCCTAGCTCTTCCTCCCGAGTGATTATAGGTATGCACCACCATATTTGGCTCTATAGGCAACTGGTTTTAAAATCATATGCTAATCTCAGGCCTAATTTTTTCCACTCTACCTCATCAATTTGGTAGCTATTCACTACACTCAAGATAATTAACGAAGCACTGCTAAGCAAAGCATGTACCTGGCGCACTAGCCTTTCTGCAGAATTCATATCTTTCTTCACCTTTAAAGTGATGAAATACATCATACCTACATGGAAGAGCTCAAACCCTCTGGGGATCTTTTATAATGAAGTTATATGAGGCAAGAAAAATAGCGAAGCTCTGATTTAGGTTTTAAACAATTAAAGAACAAAGCTAACAATATCTATTTTTTTTGACAGTTCTCAATCCTAATTCTATTTCTAGCTAATATCATCAATCAAAAAAAATTTATTTTCCCCAGCCTTTCACAAAAATCATATATAGTGTTTTCACCTAAACACAGATTTACAAGTATTCTTCTAAGACTGACTTTGATCTGGGATCACACACCAGCACTGTTTTAGTATATTTAAGATTTCTGTCTATGTACAGTTTTTGTTTTTCCTCCCTGTCTGTTTTCCTGTTTTCCCTGTGTTTTGTACCCACAGAAACTTGCTTCCAGTTTTTCACTATTGTAAATAAACATTTCCTAAATATATTATATGTGTCCCATGATTTCAACTGAAAAAAAAAACATAATTCCAAAGGAAAATAATCATACAGGAATATATAAAGATAAATATGTACATATGTGTTCATTTTTAATTGTCTGAAAGTTTTGATTTTCATTATTTGTATTTTTAAATTTAATATAAAATACTGCTATAAGCATTATCATCTGTGTAAGCTTTTCTCTTCCTTTGATTTTTAGGTGTGCATGTGTGTTATTGGGGACTGTACCCAAGCTAAGCAAGCATTCTATCACTGAGCTACATACCCGACACCACCACCTGCCCACCCACACCCTGTACTGTGGGATGAAGCCAGGGCCTTCAGACTGAGCTGCATCTACAACTCTTTTTCACTTTTTGAGACTGGGTCTTGCTATTGCCCAGTCTGGCTTTGAACTTGCCATCCTGTGTATTAGCCTCTTAAATAGCTACAATTACAGGTACATGCCACCTTACATGACTCAAATTATTTTTTCGGGAAAAATTTTCGTAAGAAAAAAAACTAGCTCATAAATATTGTCAGCAAGCTCCCCACAAGGACCAGAAGTGTATAAATATACTAGCAATACACAGGTATTTGTTTCCCAAAATGTATCAGCTCTGAATCTTATCATTTTTCTTAATACTTAAACATTTAATTAGTGTTTACACTGAAAGATATATTCATTCTGTGTGTGGTGTGTATGTACACACATGCCAGTGTCTGTGTCTGTTTCTTCCCCCAGACTTTACATTCATTTCAATTTGCACTTGTTTCTCCCCTGGAGAAGCATAATGTATCCTAATATCACTTTGCAATTCATATCGCCTCCTTCCTTTTAGCCTTCTCTTTAGTAGACATCATTTGTACTTTTAGAGATAGCAATAGGTCATTTCTGTTAAGTTTTCTTTTATTCTTAAGATATAGGACTTTTCACAGTTTTCATATTTGCATAGACTTTAGCTTTTTTTTATAGTACCTCATCTTCTGCAGCAATAGATTTTCTTAATACTTAGTATAAGTACACAATTATTTTATGAGTTTATTTTTATAATTCTGTTCTTTCATTCACCTAGTTTATCAATGTCATTAGGAACTTCATTATTCAAAAATTCATCTTGTCATACCAGTTAGGATACAAAAAACAGTTAATGTGTGAGTCCTCAAATCATAAAAATTCCAGAATAAAGTAAGAGTGAATATGTATAAACTGACCCAGACATGAGACGTGCTTCATAAGCACAAGAAAAACCACAGAAATTAATAAGAAAAAGACAGAAGGCTTTTTCTATGGATATATTTAAAATGTCTGCACATTAAAAATAAATAAAAATTCAAGTAAAAATAAGAGAAAAAATATTTGCAAAATAAATTTTTTCCTCACAAAAAATATTATAGACAAAGGTTGATGCTTTTAATGGACTCCTGAAAATCATTATAAACACTAATTCCAACAGACAAATTATTTTAAAATTCAGATGAAATATAAAGTGGGACATAACCATTAAACATCTACTTTATGAGAAATGTTTAAAAAGTAAAGATAAGATATCATTCTTTAGGAGACTAAAGGAAGACGCTGGGAGCACTGGGAGCCAGGCCTTGTGCACTGCTGGAGCCGAGCACAGGACGACGGTTCTTCAGCCCAGTCCTTCACTCTAGCAACCTGCTCCATGCCGTCATCAAACATGCCGTCAGTCATGGGATCTTCCTCACTGTTCTACCAAACCTCCTGGCTTCTCCCAACCAGATGCTCTTGCAGCCTGGGCCATGTACAGACCTGCTGTCTAGGACCCTGTGTCCTTCCTGATGTGGCAAAATCCTATTCAGGTCTTAGGTTTCACCTCAGACATGACTTTGACTCTCAGAGCACTGTGCACATTGCTCTCATTCCCATTACTTGTCTCTAGCTCCCAGCAGTCAAGAAGAGGAATCGCATATGAACAAGAAGCGTCCCTGCCTTGTTTTTCCCCTTTGCTGCACACAACCTGCACCAATTTGGCACCTTATATTTCAGATGAGTGGGGGAAAGTGAAAGATAGCACACCCTACCCACAACACCCTGACACATCTCTGCTAGCTCCCCAGATGAAGACAGAACTTACCGACATGAAGTGGAACCTGAGGACATTGTCAATCCCTAGTGCTTTCAGCTGCAGGATGACAGGGGCCAAATTGCTACGCTGCATCTCAGGAACAGTGGACTGAGGCAACTTGTCAAAGGCTTCCTCTGAGGATAGGAAATCACAACTGTTTGGGATCAAATGTGACAATCAAATGCAATCACATGCCAAAGGGACATTCTTCCTTCTCTACTCTGAACAAAAGGCTCCAGGATTAGGGCACTGATGCAATGACAGTATGATGTTAAGCTGTTTTTATATTTAGGAAAGACTATTCAATTTAAAAAATACTTTAGCTAAATTTATTTGAACTATACAGGTTTATAAAAGTTTGTCCTTTTTTATTCTTTCACTTTAGAATGCAGTTTTTCAAGTCCTTTTTGTCAGCAAAATGTTAAATCAAAGCCAACAAGTATCTGATGAATCACTATTGGTGCCCAGTTACCATTATCTCTACTTGGGGTAGAGTATTTCAAGAAGACACAAACTGCATATATAAGCCAAAAACAATTTTAAAATAAATCACCAAAAACTGCAAACAAAGAATAACAAATGACCAAATCTTATAAAAAGCAAAAAGTGCCCCCATCTAATTTTTTTAAATCAATGAGCCAAGCACAATGGCACACACAGACTCTGATGCTGAACCAGCTAGATTACCCAGTGCTTATATGCCCCATCAGAACAAAAAGTGGCTTCAAACAGGAAAAAACAGAGACCCAAAGATTGGAAAGGCAGAAAAAGGGATGAGGAGGGACAGATTTTTGGGAGGCCTTTTTACAAAACCTGGATAAAAACAGTGAGGTAGGGGAGAAGAGGAAGGGAATAAATCACTTTGTATATATCAGGAAGCTAATGGATTATAGAAAGAATGCTCCACCCACCAAACCCTCCCACACTAGTCAACATTTCAACAGATGAACACCCTCCTGCAAAACCCGGGTGGTCCAACCTCCACTGAGATTGTAAAGCATTAGTAAAATAAAACAAAGAAAGCAAAAGTGTCATGAAGAAATAGTACTACCGCTACAGAACTTCAAAAGTGCTTTCTTAGAAAAAGATGAAAATCAGTGTTTGGACTGTGTGATATAAATTGCAAAATGCATTGGTCTAATTGGAAGGCTCTACATGATGAGCAGCAGCACAAAGTCCTCAACGCTTTCTTCAGTTTCAAGAGCAACCAGGACCTAAAGAAGAACCACTCTTCACGAGCACACCCACCACTAGCTGAGACAAGTAAGGACATCAGATGCGAGGGTGACCTGATGAGAAGACATGGAAAGCTGGTGCTTCCAGAATTCAAAGCACTCAGACTCTGTAGAGGCCTCACATCTGGGCCAGCAGCTGCAGGAGATCCAGCCAAACCCCCTGAAGAGCTTCAGTAATAGGAAGGGGCTTGACCAAGACCAGGGACTGTGCCCTGCAAGGAGGAACAGAGTAGGCCCCATTGAGTGGTCCTTCCAAAGAGAACTGGAGGCTTGGGGCAAAGAGGAAGGCATGACTGAGAGAAGAAGCTCTCAAGAATCATAAAGATAAAACTGATTAAATCAGGATCAAATAGGGAGGCAAGTCACATAGCAAGCAGGCATGAATACAGAATAGAATCTTTGCTGATAAGGGTTGGGTTAATGGCTCCTCTGGCTTCCTCAGTGTGAATGATATCTATTTAGAATACCAGTCCCTGATATCTATACTTAGGTTGTGGTTGCATTTGTTTTTTGATCTAAGATTTTGTCTTGAGATCTGGCCTGTGACAGAGGTGTTTGTCTCCTCCAAGGTTACAAGATACCTGTTCTTCTACACTGGCTCCCTTGAGAGCTTAGCTCTATCTGACTGCCTATAATATCCATCTAACTCAGCTGCTGTAACAATTTCATGTGCCAAGGAAGTCATGTACTGTGATACAGACTTGAGGTAAGCAGATGGGCTTAGGTAAAAGCTACCAAGTCTTGTAGCATGAAGTATTGGAGTGGAAATGGGATTGAGATGGTAATAGATCCATTAGTGTCCAGCCTTCAGGCGGCAAGTTAAGCTTCAGGAAGGACCTTAACAGCTCTGAGAAGGCTGCTACATGACTTTCCAGAACCTTCCATTATTATCTATCCTGTCTTCCAGCAGAATCATACTGCCTGTGTGTGAGGGAGGGGGGGTGGTGGTGGTGGTAGGTACTAGAGATTAAATCCAATTTTTTATTTTTTAATTTTGAGACAAGACCTTGCTAAATTGTTAATTTGCCGAGGTCAGCCTTGAACTTGTGATTCTCCTGCCTCATCTTCTCAGGGTACTGAGATCATGTGAACTCTGCCATTGTTGAATGTATTCTGTGCTTCCCTACATCCCCTACTCATACCTTTACTTTCCTTTGCCCAATAGAGCTCCCTTATCCCTCAAATCCTCTCAAAACAACACTATGACAACAGTCAAAATAAAGCAGAGGCCCAGAGTTCAGTCCTCAGTATTGCCAAAAGAAAGAAAGGGAAAATTACAATCAATAAATAAATGAGGTTAGACACAAAAGATCACATAGCCTATGACTGTATTTATATGAAATATACTGAACAAACAATTCATAGAGGCAAAAAGGCAGAACATAAATTTTGTATGTCAAAGAGAGGAGTTAAGAAAATACAGGAAGAAATTCCTTAATGAGAAAGGATTTTGAAAACGGAAACACTTTCAAGCTAAAAACAGGAGTGGCTGTATATTGTGAGTAAAAAAAAAAATGTCACTGAACTGTTCACTTTAAAATGGTTATGCTGGGGCTGGGGATTTAGCTCTGCAGCATAAGCACCTGCCTTGCAAACAGGCGGTCGTGAGGTCAATCCCAGTACCGATAAAAAGAGGAAAAAAAAACAAACAAACTGTAATTTCAAAATGGTTATGCTATGTAAATTTTAACACAATAAATTTTAAATATACATACATAAAAATCTTGAAACTTCCTCCTCTTCTTCCTCCTACTCCTCCTCCTCTGCATTGCCGGGTGCCCATTAATACTGGGTCTTCCTTTCCCAAGCCAATAGCAACTTCAGAGGCTGGCTGTACCTCTCTGGGTTCTGACTATTTCCTCCCTGCCATTCATGCACCTCACTCTCTTCTTTCCTTCCAAGTACTTGTACATCCCATTCCCTCTGCCTGGTATGCTGAAAATATCCAGTACTGTTCCTTCATCTGCATGACTACTGGGCTCCAAGATCACATTCTTAGCTGGCCATGGTGGTGCATACCCATGATCTCAGCACACAGGAGGCTGACACAGAAGGATCACCACAAAATCAAGGCCAACCATAGCAAAACTATTTTTTTTTCAAGAAAAAAGGACTTTAAAAACAGATCTGGATTTAAATCCTAGATCACATTTGAGTACCACCTCACTTGTGAAGTGTTTCCCAGCTCTCCAGCAGTGGGACATGAGCTCTCCTCTCTGCTTCCAAGGCTCCTTTTCTTCTACAGGGACCCAACCATATGATAGCACATTGGATGTTTGTCAGTCTGCCTCCACCACCAGACCATCTACCATACCAGGTGGCCATCGGCTATGGCTGATCTAGCCTGAGAGCCCCAAGTCTCGGTACCACACCCAGCATGGAGGAGGTGCTCTGTAAGCACTCACTAAGAGAAAGAAAGAGGGCTGGGGAATGTAGCTCAGTCAAAAACCCTAAAGAAACCTACACTAACCTGTATAAAGGCGGTAACACTTTCCTGAGCGGCTGCGCCCACCACGTCCTGCTCGTTGGTTGGCTGATGCTTGGGACACAGGCACGACCACCAAGCACTCAATAGCTGTCCTGGGATTGTAGGCTCGCAGCTTCACAAAGCCACAGTCAATCACATACACGATGCCACTGATTGTAATGGAGGTTTCTGCCACATTGGTGGCTACTATCACCTATGTCCCCCACAGAAACAAGAAAAGTAATTTTATTCTTCCACTTTAAATAAACTGTTAAAAATTCTACAGATGTAATGATATTTCAAACACTGTGAGTTTGTAAGGCAGTAGGATGTTACAGTTTAGCTCTAGAATGTATCTCACAAGCTTCATGTATTCTGAGGTAGGGTTTTGAAAGCTGATTGAATCATAGAGGTGCTATAGTCATCAGCAGATTAATCAATCGATGCCTTCATAGCTGATGTGCTACCAGGGGATGGGGCATGGTTAGAAAAGGCAAATTACTAGGGATGCGACCTGGAAGGGTATATCCCTCCCTGACTCCTCCCTTCCCTCTCTGCTTCCTGGCTGCCATGATGTGAGCAGCTTTCCTCCACAGCAGGCCTTTCTACCATGCTATTGCTGGGTTTGAGTCAGCTAGCCATGGACTGAGACATCTGAAACTGTAAGCCAAATAAACCTGTAGTCTTTTAAATTGAAGGTGTTGAGCACTGTGTCCCAGCTACAAGAAAGGAACTAAAACAGCATATTATTAAGACTAGAAACTTCAGAGTTGGGTGTTCTGGGCTGGAATTCACAAGAATCTTACAACCCTGGACAAGTTCCTTAACCTCCAGGGCAGCAGGAGATTCCTCATCTACATAAGAATATTTACCACTGTCCCCAAGGTTGCTGAAGAAATTAAATAAGATACATATATAAAGTGATTAAAACCTAAAATAGTATAGGTACATTCATGTATTCCTTCATATTTTTTGAGGGTCTGTACTTGGTTCTTAAGAGGATGGACAAGACAAACTGAGCCCCACTCAGTCTATATTCTAGTGGGAGTGCTTGGAGGACAAAACATGGTAAAGAACATGGGTGCATAACTTCAAAGTGAAACAAATACGAGGACGAAAATACCTGGTAATATGTTTGATATATATGTAGTATTTACATTACATGTTATAACAAGGGGCCATGCGCCTTTAGATTGGATAGCCAGGGAAAACCTCTCTGAAAGATGACTGTGAGCTGAGACCTGAGTAACAGGAAGTAGTCAAACCTACAGAGATACAAGCAGAAGCTACACTGATTCAGTCATCATACAGAGTAAACACAAGATGAGCTTGAGGAATGGCACAGGGCCCAGCTCATGTGTAGCCTCTAGGCCACCTTGGGTGCTGCTGCTGCTGCTGGAGCGTTTTAAGTGATCAGATAAGTTATATAAAATAAAATAAAATAAAAACCTATCAACTTTTTTCAGGTATGTTACATTTCATGAAAGTCTCCCAAACGTGTTTATATAGCAGTTAAGGTTTTATATTATAAAACCATCTATCTAAAAGTTATTACTATTTGTGTTTTACAACTACAAAAATCAAGACTTGAGGTTAAGTAATTTGTCCTAGAGCACACAGGACATCAGGAGTGAAATCCAGGTCTTCTGAGAGCTGACTGCAAATCATGTTTGACCATGCGGGCACAGGCTGCTCCGTTCCAATGACCAAACCAGAAGGTACCCTCTTCTGAGTGGCCCAAAATTGGGAATGGGTCCTCAGTCTGACCCCCCACCTACTTTATTCTCTGCTACCTGCTATGCACTGCTAATCTAACTAAAAGGACAGAAAGGCCCTAGGGGATAGGAACAGGAGTCAGTCTAGCTGACTGACTTCCTTTTACCATGCCTCTTCCCACCACACCCTAATTTCAAGGCTGAATATATTTAAGCCACACCTAGTATTAACTGATTTAAACTTGACTCTACAGGCAAACTGACAGTAACTTGTCTATTGTTCCTGACTGACTACAATCCTCAAAGGCAGTCCCTTCAGCCAAGATAGTATCATGTCAAGGGAAATATCAAATAGAAGTAAAAGAGAAGTCACCTGCTCTGAGTTACCCTTCTTTGGGGCAGGTTTAGAAACCTTCACAACAGATTATTTATCTTTTATGCTTTTAAAAGTACTACACAGAAACACAGGCCTGAAATTCTGAAAGAAACTTTCCTATTTAGCACGCTTAACTTCAATTTAAAAAACTGAACATGTTTCAGTGCACAGCAAAGGGGCAGTAATACAATTACAGATGACTGGAAACTCCCTTGGTCATTAGGGTAGTCTCACCTTCCTCACACTGCGCGACACCCTTTCAAACACTTTCATTTGCTCAAAGGAAGGCAGTCCTGCGTACATGGGGAGAACCCGGAGGTGTCTTTTCATCCCGGTGCGAGCCAGTGCTCGGGCCTGCTCGATCAGCATAGACACAACAGTTTCTACTTCTTCCTAAACATTGAAACAAAAGCCCAAGAAATGAAGATCAATCTGATGCACGTCATCTTATCACATCCACACAATAAAAGGTGAGATTAGGATTTTAATTTGGGTCAGATTCACGACCTTTAAACAGCTGTCCACTGTAGGATAATATTTATCAGATGCTACCGAACAACTCTGCCAAAAAAATGACAATTTCTAACTGCAACATTAACTACTAAAACTAAGCTATCTGCAGGTAATAGAAGAATTATCAATAAAAACAGGGACTAGTTTCTCAATTTTTATGTACTATAGTAAATAAAGCCTTTTCATGTACATGAACAAGTTGTAGCCAATAAAATCATTGTTAAGTTTTCCCCAGAAAAGATTACGTGCGGAAAATATTTGCCATCAGAAAAGATTACAGCTGGAGAGGCGTAACTCTAAACAGTGTTACAACCTTGAGGCAGCACTTGGGCTTGGTTGGTTGTTTTTCCAGTAACCTTACCACACTCAGAATGAGCTGTAAAAATCATGGGACAAGGGGTATAGCTTGGGACAATCTGAGTGCAGCAAAATATATCTAATGTGTTACCCAACATTAGCAAACAAAATAGTCCACTCACTACACTATCTAATTTATTTTGGAATCAGCTGATAAATTGAAAATACAGTTAATTCTTCTGAAGCAGAACAAGGAGGAACTAATGATTCCTTGACAATTCAGTTGTTAGATCAATGACACCAAAACTAACAATATTTTATGCAATTAAGTAAATAAAAAATACAACAAATATGAAATATCTAAGTAATAAGGTTCTCTATTAATTTTGAAGCACATCATTTTATCATACTGAAAGACAAAAAAAGTTGGGATCAGAATTTTAATTTAAGTCAGATTTATGCACTTTAGATGTCCCACTCTGGGATGATGCCTTACACATCTGTTCATCACAGAGATCCAACGGAATTACCTGGCCAGTAAGAAAGGCTAATATGTCTCCATCTCCCTCTGTCTGATGAATTTTCACCACAGTTTCCACAGTTGATTTGATATAATCTGGAACAGGACTGAAAAGATGTATGTGATAAATTCATCATTAGAATATGCTCATTAATTAGAAGTCGATCATCCTAATCATCTGACACCAAGATCTCATGAAAGTTTAGTTTGGGCTTGCCCAGTACATAATTAGCATATACAAAAACAAAGTAAATATTCACTCTTTTTTTTAAGTGAAGCATTAAAAGTAATCCATAATTACTAAATTTATAGCTATACTTGCAAAAAATATAAAGATTTTACACCCATATATAGAAATGTGCTATTTTATGTATGCAAAGATGCCAGGCCAGGAAACTGGGGTCTATGGTGCCAGCACTGAGGTTCACTTCTTCCTGGTCTGTTTTCCCTCCCTGGCCACGGGCAACACAAATAAACTGAGTGAACATGGGTGGCAGACATGGTCCCAAGCTAGGGCAACTCAGAGGTCAGGTTCACAGCTCTGGACTTATTAGCCACTGCACCTGGCCCTGGTGTTTGTTCACCCAGGGACAGGTACAGGAATTGGAACGAGCCCTTTTGTTGCCACAGGAGCTCCTCTCAGAAGTGTCAACAAGGCCTTCTTGCTAAGTATGTAGAGAGCTGAGAATGAAATGACTCAAATCACCAGTACTATCCTCACTGGCAGGCATCCTTGGAAACTCAAGTTCAGCAAACTTCCAAGCCCCTGCCTTTCAACCTTTCATCACTTTGCTCTTTCCAACTAAGTGACCAATCATGGATTCATGCAAACTTGCACACCAATGTCAAGACTCTGAAATAAATGTAGCAATGGTGTTGCACAGGGTTTCAGAACATTCTGTCAATGACAGGAGACACCATCTGCTAAATGCCCTCAAAGCTGCCAGAAGATGCACTTCCCTGTCATTCTACATCATAAGATTAGATTTCTAATCACCATCATCAAGAACAAGCATTATCAAACCTTTGTAGATAAAAGATATCAACCGGAAATGTTCGCCCTTCCACTGTAAGGATCACACATGTATCCCTGGTTGGGTCACTGGTTTCATTTAGATTAAAGAAATCTCGAAATTTCTAAAAAAGAAAAAAAAAACATTTCTTTTTCTCGAAAAAAGATTCACAGTAACATATGCAATGAAAAAATACAAAACTGGCAGAAAAAAGGTGGGTAATAAGGATTAGATGTATTTCATATCAACTATGCACTGCAAAATAACTTTTAAAATTTACATTTTTCTTATTGAAATTGGGACAAGGCATGTTTAGTGACCACAAAAGATTTGACAAAAATTATATTAGATTTCAAAACTACATTCAGTGATGCATCTGAGGTAATATGTAACTGTATTACTTAGTTTATTCTTATCTCTATTTTATTCAACTGAAGATTAAGTCAATGGTATGATTCAAGTTCAATACAGGTTAAGTTAGATGGGTGTTTGCCTCTGATATGGACAGCATAGATCTGATCAAACAAGGTCATCAATTTATGAAGGAAATTTTTACTTCTGTGAACAGTAGGTATGTTCCTAATACATAATGACTAAAATTTCCTCAAAGATTTGAAAGATGTAATCCTCTTTCTCCATCTTTACATGCCCCACAGAAGTTCTACATGAGAAGGTCGTCCATCATATCCCTTCCTGTTGGGAAAAGTGACTATGGCAGTTTCCCCCAAACTGACGGTCATATCCTGCTCAATGACATCAGACTTGCAGCCTACATCAGGCCTGAAAGCTCTGGCTGATAACAGCAAGAGAAACCACAAAATATCCCCTGGTGGAGAGTGTTCCCAAAATATATGGAGAAACTGACAGTGAGAAGAACCAAGTGACTGAGTAATCACACTGATGGGTAACTTAACAGTAGACAGGAAGCTACTGGTGCCAGGTGCTGAAAGGACACACATATCCAGTTTGGTGATGCGCTTGTTTTTTGGTTCTGAATGACCTTCAACTTCCTAGGACTATGTAACTGCAAGGCTTTTTTTTATTTTCATTTCCATATGTTCTATATATAAAACATGTCCATCCTTGCTTCTAGCAACCATAAACCCCAGCAGCTGCACTAGTGAATAGCAGCAAACACTAAGTGAACAGGTTTTGAGGAACTTCTAAAAGAGTCTACTGGATTTAACAGTAACATTGCCAAGCTACACATTCAACCAAGGCTGTGTCAGGCAAGAGGAAGCATAGATATCTTAGTGTCTCATACCAACAAAAGGATACCACATGGTACCACTCTTCACTTTCCCTTTGGGTCAATTTCCTTCAAGTCACTTCAGCATTCCTGAACCCCAATGACATGCAGAGCACAGGCACAAATGAAAACATATCTTCCACCCACCCCCAAAATAAACAGTCCAGAGAAGACAAAACTGATCATGAAACTACCTGAGGAAGAAAGCCTATCTGACCACAAAACAGCTGCTAATTACAATCTGAGATAACAAATGGTCAGTAACTATTGGTTTGCAGGGAAGGCTTCAGGGAAGTGGCTTTATTCCCTGACTGAGCTCTAAAGGATGAAGAGGATTACAACTACTGAAATGACACAGCATATAGAGTAAGATGGAAAAAGGGCCCTGAAAAGTGACAGGCCACTGTCTAAGGCAGGCCGCTCACCTCCTAAGTTAGCTCTCGCCTATAAAATAGACAAACTGCTATCCCCCTGCAAGGTAGCTGCAAGGTTCAAGCAAAGTATGTTTGAAAGTCTATAGCATAGGTCTCATCTACAACAGATCTCACTAAGGACTGCAAGTATCACTCTGACAGAGCCCAAATGCTATGCTGTGTGGGCGCTATACTTGATGTGCAAGACTCAGGCAGTAATGATGGCCTTGATATTATCAGATATGGTGCTGGATCCTAAGCTAAGGTGGCCATTTTGGAAACAGCAGAAATAAGAAACTGGAGGCAAGTAGACTAATTAAGGAACTAATTAAGGGAACAATTAACAGTTCAGGTAAGAGGGTGAGAGCATGGATTCAGGCAAAGCATTCCAGAAGCACAACTGCCAGAACAGGACCTGACAATCAGTAAGCATGTACCCACATGCTGGTGTAGGGAGAAGAATAGAACGCTTCTTAATCAGGGATGAAAACTTTCTAAAGCAGTGGTGAAAGTCTTGGCCTGAATGACTGTGATCATGGGAAAGGGGTTGAGAAACTGAGAGTCACAAGTGTGAGTTCTGGTGGTCTCTGACCAGACAGTAGCTGGACAGCAAAGGCTGGCACACAGGAGTATAGACAAGACCATCACAAGCATGCAGCATCAGCTGACTTGAAGTCACAGCAGTGGCCAGAGCAGAGGAAGAGCAGTTAAAAAAGGAGCCTAGGATGAAGCCATCAAGGTGGCAAGGGAGAGGAGACGGCAGAACCCCACAAGCTGCAGGCAGAGCAAAAAGAGTTCAGAAAAGGCTCAATGGACAGAGCTGCATGTTACCAACCAAGCATGCAGAATGGGAAGAGAGGTGAAGTTCTACTGCTATTCGAGTGGGTGGCCACACCTCAGCTGCTCAAGCATACGTGGTGCTGAAGTGCAGGGACAAGGAGTTACTCTTTCAAGAAAGAGAACACCACGTATGCTGCAAGGGCATAAGATCCTTATACTGAAGATCTTTATCCTTTATCTTCATTTGGAAATATAAAATAAAAATAAATGCAAACATAGTACCAACAGTATATGAATCTTGGGCCAGGGATATAGTTCAGCGGCACAGCACCTGCCTGACAAGTGCAAGTACTGAGTTCAATTCCTAGTTGATGGGAAAAAAAGAATCTTCTTGCGGAATCAAGGGAATGAGAATGAAATGAGCTCCAAACACTGGGAAATGAAGAGTCTGAGTAAGGCTCACAGGAGGTAGAGTCACAACACAAATACAGTAAGGAACACAAGACAAGGGCCAGGGATTTAGCTCAGTGGCATAAGCACCTGCCTGGAAAGCATGAGGTCATGAGTTCAATTCTGGTACCAAAAAAGAAAAAAGAAACACAACACATAAATGAAGAGGACAGTCTGTAAATGATGTGATAATCTGCTGTGCAGTCTTCCAGCTCACCCCAGTTTCCTGCTGTGGTAGTTGCTTCTGTCTGACCCATGCGTAACCAGTGAGGTCCCAGCAGCCATAACTATTCATCAGAGCCACTCTCATCCAACAGCCTCTGCAGGTCCATGCAGATCGACTCAAGGTGGTAAACTAACCCCAAATGCAGAGCATAGGCTCAAATGAAAACAGATCTTCCACCCATCCCCATAATAAAACTCCAGAGAAGACAGATGTACAAAAACTGATCACGAAACTACCTGAGGAAGAAAGCCTATCTGACCACAAAATAGCTAATTACAATCTGAGAGAACAAATGGTCAGTAACTACTGGTTTGCAGAGAAGGCTTCAGAGAAGCAGCTTTATTCCCTGACTGAGCTCTAAAGGATGAAGAGGATTACTACTAATCCTACTATATGCTGTGGAATGACACAGCATATAGATTAAGATGGAAAAAGGGCCCTGACAAGTGAGAGGCCACTGTCTAAGGTAGGCTGCTCACCTGTTAAGTTAGCTCTCACCTATAAAATGGACAAACCCCTGCCATAACCCTCTCCAAGAATCTGGAGAGAAGACAGTAGGTACTGTTAACAATGATATTCTCTGCCATCTGGATAGAGGGAAATTTTTTAAAAATATCATATGAAACAATAGTCAAGAAACACTTATAATTATATCTGGTCTTGTAATTGCTCACTTCATTTAGCTCATAGTAACAGCAGCTAAACCAATCTGGGCAATTATTTGATCAGCCTCATCATACCTGAAAGAGTTTTGGCCCAGACAGGACACTGTAGCTGGTAAAGCCTCAGGCAGAACCAAGGAGCTCCATCTCCCTCACCCCTAGGAATTTACCTATGGCACCAAACAAAGACCAATGGGCTACCTGTGCATCCTTAATGCCCCCTTAGGTTCCACCCCAAACCTAGGCTACTTATATGCCTCCACTCCATGTGTTCCACGGAGAGATCGCCGACCCCAGGGCAAGATGCCATGCCCCAGGGGATCAGGGGTGTCTCTCCCCGCATTCTCAAAATAAAGGTCATTTATATTTCATACTCCTTATCTTTTCAGCCGCTGCCAGTTCCCCACAGTTCTATCATGATTCCCTGACCGGGAATGGCAGACAAGAGATTCCTGGGATCCTCCCAGTTTGAGTCCCCTGCTGTTCAGGACCAGGTCCGGACTACATCCTGCATTAATTCCTCACTTCTGCACTCGAAAGCTGTAAACCTGTCGCTGTTGGCTCACAAACGACACCAACACAATTTATCACAGGTGAGCAATCGCCAGGGATTGCCACTGGGCCAGGCCCCAGGAAGGTTTTCTCCCCATTTCCGTGGGTTCACGTGACATTCTCACATCCTTAGATAGCCCAAGGCAGAGTCTTTCTGGGCCAACCTGTGTCCACACTGGGAGACTCTCACATCCTTTGGGTTTGGATAGCCCAAGGCAGAGTTTTCCTGGGCCAGCCTGTGTCCACACTGAGAGACTCTCACATCCTTCGGAGCTTTTTAAGTTCTCACGGGCAGAGCTGTTACTAAACCCACACAAAATCTACTGGTATACTGGTGACGGCCAATTATTACGAGCTTTGGAACCATATAATACCAATTGGTCTAGAGTAAAAAGTGACGACTTGCACTTAGTAGACCACGGTCCATTGCCTCATCTGGCTGTAACTCCATGGGCCAGACCCCACACCAGATTTTATCTTAGGGACCACTTCCTGCCCCTCCCCAAACCACACCTATTTATAGCTTATCACACTGACGACAAGTTTACAAAACTCTTTATCTTTAAGCCTTTATTTTGAGAATGTGTGTCCTTTCCCCGACAGCGTCCCTTTGTCTCCTCGTTGCTTCCCCTTTCCCACCGCATGCCGACCCATTCCCTGCTGAGATGGGAAAAGTGAGCCCAAACAGTGTTGAGAGATACGCGCAGGATGCTTTAAGCTCTTATGCCGCGCTCCAGCCCAAACAATGTTGGGAGATACTGCTGCTTTAAGCTTTCACGCCGTGCCCCAACT